GATGGAACGAACGTGATGCAACGTGGGAAAGGGATTCGTGCTCAAGCTGAGGAAAGCTTCCCTCCACTGGTCTCTTCAGCTAGCACTGATGATGTTACCTAATTCAGCCCTTTTCCTCCTCTTCTTCTTCTACACAACCCACCCACCCACCCCGTTCCAGCACTGATGATGTTCCGTAGTTGGGTCATGAAATGTCTGCAAGAAAATCACCCAGCTCAGAGAGCACCAAAGAACTCAACAGTCCTTTCCTTTCTCCTCCTCCTTCCCTCTGCAAACCCCTTTTCCTTCTAACACTGATGACGTTCCCTAGTTGGGTCATGAAATGTCTGTAAGCAAAGCCTCCTTCTCTTCCTCTTCCTCCCTTCCTCTTCCTCCTCTCCTCTGCAAACTCCCTTCTAGCACTGGTCATCTTCCCCAGTTGGGTCATGCATGTAAGGAAACACCCCCCCCCAAGCTCAGAGACCACCCAGGTCTCTCCTCTTCGGCTCATTTGTTCATCTCAACACATGCTCTTCAAGACGCGACCACGTCACTCCAGCCACGGACCTCCAGCTGCAGTTTCAAACTGTTGGCTGTGTTTCCTCTGCTGTCCCCGAGTTCTGCCATCCAGATCCAGAGGAGGGACAGGCCGTGGCACTCCAAGAAGGACTTCAGATAGGCCTGAGAATGGGTGTTCTTTAAATAAAAATAAATAAAAAAGGGAAGGGAAGAAGGAGAAGGAGAAGTTGACCGAAATGTTTTGGAACCTCAAGTTAAAAAAAAAGCAAGGATGAGATCATGTGGATCAGCCGGGTTAGATTTATCGTTTTTGAGGCCCAGCCAGATATATATTTCCTTCTCCTGACCCAGTTTCTCAACTGATCTGTAGAAGAGATGTTGGTCCCTTGGTGGGTTGATCTTCTTGGAGAAGACAAGGGCAGGGTGGACCTCTAAAATTCCTGTCTGTATTATGCCACGGAGGTTATGTGTGATGGAACCGCTCCTACGTGGACTACAGGTAGTCCTCGACTTACAACAGTTCATTTAGTGACTGTTCAAAGTTAAAAACGGCACTGAAAAGTGTGACTTGGGACCATTTGACTTACAACAGTTCGGGCAATCCCCAAAGTCAAAATTCCAAAAACATGGGTACTGGTTTGTATTTACGACTGCAGGGTCCCGGGGATATGTGATCCCCTTTTGTGACCTTCTGACTATCAAAGTCAATGGGGAAGACGGATTCACTTAACAACCGTGTTCTATAGTTGCAGCGAGTCTCTAAAAATGCTATCCAGTGGTTGACAAGGTTAGTTCTCTGACCTTAATTAGTTACATTGATCCTTCCAGTGGCTGGCAATCTTTAGCGTATTCCTTTCAATGTATATTCCCCATTGAGTGCTTGCTTACTCTCTTATAATCCCTTTCTCTCCAATCAATGTAAATACAGGGAGTCCTCAACTTACAAGCATTTGTTTAGTGACTGTTCAAAGTTACAATGGTTGTGAAAAAAGTGACATGATCATTTTTCATGCTTATGACTGTGGCAGCATCCCCATAGTCGTGTGATCAAAACTCAGACATTTGACAATTGACTCATATTTATGACGGTTGCAATGTCCCAGGATCACATGATCTCCTTTTGTGATCTTCTGAATAACAAAGAGAAGACAGGGAAGACGGATTCACTTAACAACCATGTTCCTAATGTAACAACTGCAGGAATTCACTTAACAACTGTGGCAAGAAAAGCTGTAACATGGGACAAAACTCACTTAACAAATGTCTCGCTTAGCTACAGAAATTTTGGGCTCAATTGTAATTGTAAGTCAAGGACTTATAGAATCCAATTCAATTGAAACGGGTGATGGAATTGCTTCTACTTGGAGTTCAGAATCCAATCCAAATTAAAACTCGCCTTGTCCTCCAGATCCAGTTTTTGAAGGTGGCAGCCAAGCAATGTTCTCTTTGGACGTACTATCACAGGGATCTCCAAATGCGGCAACTTTAAGACATGACTGATTGTGGAATTCTGGCCGTTGGAAGTCCGCAAGTCTTATAGTTGCCCCATTTGGAGAGCCCTGTTCTATCAGCTATTACCACCAAAGGAAACCTATGTTTGATTTAGATGGAGAAACGTCCAGCTTAATCAACTCAACTTGAATGCAACATGTGGTCGGCAGTTCAAGGGTGTGGTGGAAACCAACCACTTCTTCACACAGACCATTGTTATTAAGTGAATACGGTAACCATGATTTGTTCGTCCAAGTTCAGGAATCGGTGTGCTTTAGGAACCAGACCGAGAAGAGTTTCATTTCAGTTCTGAAGAGGGCAATGCATTGGATGAAGGTCAAGAGAGAGTCAAACCAGACAGAAGGTAGGTATTGTTAGTCAGTGCCTGTCTACTTGGCTGGAGGGGAATTTTAACCTTCAGGATGAGGTGTGCTGCCCTTCTATCCTGCATTGTCAGGACTCCAGCATGGTGCAAGACCCTTTGATTAGTTTATTCTGGTATTTTATTTAGAACCCCATAAGAAAAAAGATTTAATGACCTAGTTATTAAAATATATAGTCCTCATTTAGGAAAGCGGATTTAGTTCTCTGACTTGGGTAGAGACTGGTTGTGGCCACAACCGACGTAAAAGCCACTTTGCGACCAATGTTCAGAGTTATGACCATCACTTCATCTGTTGTGTGTTTGCCATTACAGTTAGTTAGTAGGCATTGTCTTGTGCCTGTTTGGCTTTTCTCTCTTCCCAATCCACAGTGGGAACGTTACCTAAAAATGTATTTTCCTGAGCTGCTTTTATAATTGCAGCGAGTCTCTAAAAATGCTATCCAGTGGTTGACAAGGTCAGTTCTCTGACCTTAATTAGTTACAGCGATCCTTCCAGTGGATGGCAATGTTTAGCGTATTCCTTTCAATGTATATTCCCCATTGAGCGCTTGCTTACTCTCTTATAATCCCTTTCTCTCCAATCAATGTAAATACAGGGAGTTCTCAACTTACAAGCATTGGTTTAGTGACTGTTCAAAGTTACAACGGTTGTGAAAAAAGTGACTTATAATCATCTTTCATACTTACGTCTGTTGCAGCATCCCAATAGTCAGTTGTCAACAGCCTGACAACTGACTCATATTTATGGCTGTTGCAGTGTTCCGGGGGTCACATGATCCCCTTTTGTCCCCTTCTGACAAGCAAAGACAATGGGGTAGACAGATTCAATTAACAACCGTGTTACTAACTTAACAACTGTAGGAAGAAAGGCCATAAAATAGGGCTAAAACTCACTTAAATGTCTCACTTAGCAACATGAATTTTGGGTTCAATTGTGGTCCCAAGTCAAGGACTACCTGTACAAATTTCAATTCTCTTCTTGCTAAGAAGAGAAGGGGCTGTTAAGATTTGTCCTTCTACCCGCTTTTGTGAATTGAGCTCTGAAAACATTCCCTGCCATTTGAGCTCACCCAGCCATTTGGAGTCACGATCTTCTATTGCTGCAGATTACAGGGAAGTTGAAGTAAAATTGAAATTTTTGATTTTCACTTATTGATCGCTTCCTTTAACGACTAAGTTGCTGAAACCAAGTGCAATCCTTTAACAAGGACTTCCTGTAACTTCTTAAGAAACCAACGGGACTATCTCCAACGTTAAGCAACACAGAACTACAGGACAGGCAGTGCTCACTCACTGACTGATGGCAACTGGGATTGGCAACTCCATCACTAAAGAGAGACAAGCCATTAAGTGAAATGTGATGTCACTGCAGCCAATTTACAGTAACAGTTAACAGTGTTTGTTATGCAAAGACATCACATGTCTACGATTTGAAAATTCCTGCTGAATCGTCTACAGATCGTATTACTTATTAGAATCCAGCAGGGGAGATTGCAAAACGATGATCATGAGATGAAAGGATGCTGTGACCATTGTAAAGGTGTGCTAACCGCCCAAATGGCAATCGCGTGACTGCAGAGACACTCTGACGGCAGCAAGTCCAAAGACCAGACCCGAAACTCATTCTGCAGTGACGTCTTAACTTCAAATGGTCACTGAATGAGGAAGTTGGTAAGCAAACACTACTGATACAGATAAATATCTGTATTTCTTCTAAGAACGAAAGGCTAGCTAGAAATGTGATTAAGGGCTGCATGGAATAATAGGGTTGGAAGGGGTCCTGGAGATCTTCTAGTTGGATCCCAGGAGACCCTGTCTATCTGGGATCTGAGGTTTTGAGTAGGGTTCAGTTTTATCCAAGAAAAGGATCGTTTAGTAAATACCCCATCATTAGTATTGTGTATTGTGTAAAAGGCCGGTTTAAAAAATTCTGTGTTTCTCCGAAAATAAGACGTCTTATATTTTTTTTTAAACCCCGAAATAAGCGCTTGGCCTTACTTTCGGGAAGGTCTTATTATTTTGGGGGGCATGGAGAAAGATGGGGCTCCTCCTGCCTTCTTACCAGATTTTCAGCTCTGCGTTTAAATATTTTCAGGGAGGGCTTATTTTCGAGGGGAGGCTTATTTTCGAGCATAGCGCTCAAAAGCCCGATTGGGCTTATTATCAGGGGATGTCTTATTTTTGGGGAAACAGGGTAATTAGTTGGGCTAAGCATATAAATATATATTTAATTCCATTGAGGTCTCTGAAGGCTGGTTTAACATAAAGGTTCTCATTTACTGAGTGCAACTCATGTGAAATTGTCACTAAGTGAAAATTGCAGCAGCCTAAGCACAACCATTGTACTTACAACTTGACTACGGATTTCTGTATTCAATATTTTTTATTTTTCATAAAGTGGACATTTTTAATAACCGTTTGAACATTCCACTTCCAAGAGCTCTTCAATTCCAACATACTTTTGCCATAAAAAATACACTGTAATAATTTACCACCTTTCAAAAACTTTGTATATCTTTATGACAATCTAAGACACCAACGTATTTAAAGGCTTAAAATTGTAGCTGTAAGTTTATACACAACTATCCTACATAGAAAACAAAAAGGGTTAAACTGAATCCCAATGTACGAAAAGTTGGTTTATTACACAAGTACAAAACTGGCCATCATAATGTTGCTTTATAAAAATAAAACGTTCAACATCTGATTTTTGCAGTTACAGGACCTGCAAAGATCAAACTGTTCAGAAATAAACCACAAAATTAATCATTTTTGAATGAAGGCAAATTAAAGTTTTTTTCTGTGTTTTTGAAAATTGCGGATACACGGGCATAGCTGAGGGGTGACTATTGTCTAGGTGTTTTATTCCAATCCCTGGAAAGGAAAGGAAGAACTAACTTTCTTAAAGGACTCACTAATTTTTAGTTTGCGTTCTGCTTTCTCTTCTTGCTTTCGTATATTTCACGGTAACACTGCAGAATTTCGTAGATTCTCTCACGTACCCTTTCAAAACGTTCTATGTCCGGATCCATGCTTTTTAATTCTGATAAGATTATGTCAACCTCCGTGAAAACACAAGCCAGTCTTCTCATGGTGAATTTTTTTGCCTTAATGTTTACCTTTCTTTCTTTCTTTTTTTCTTCTTCCTTTTCCTCCACAACCTCCTGAGTTGACAATTTTTCCCTCAGTTCAATTAAATCTTCATCAGAAAGCTCTCCCTCCATAGACGCTAACCACTTTTTCACGGCTTCAGCATCAACCTGTAAACCGAGGGTTTGCGAGAGAGTCAAAATGTTCTGGTTTGTTTTCTCCAAATCTTCGTCAGGGTCAAATCCTTCGAAGTTTCTGACGAGATCCGTGAAACGTTTTAAGCACTTCTCCCAAATGCCTTGCATGCATGTTGCACCAACACCCTGCCATGCCGTGACAATTTTTTCCATGCAATGGAGGATATCGTACCGTCTCCAAAACTCGTTCAAGCTCACCCTACTCTTCTCTGTCGCGGCTACCGCTTCAGTCAAGACCTCCCGTAAATAATAAGCCTTGAATGTCGCAATGGCCCCCTGGTCCATCGGATGCAGGAGAGGGCTGGTGTTTTTGGGCAGGTAAACAACCTTCACATCTGCCTGGAGATTGTCCAGATGCGAGGGATGTCCCGGTGCGCTGCCAAAGATCAGGAGAATCTTAAAAGGAATCCTCATTTGCAAGCAATAGTCCTTGACTTGGGGTACAAAATAAGTCATCAACCAGTACTCAAAGACGATGTGAGTCATCCAAATCTTCTGATCAGATTGGTAATGCACGGGGAGGGTGTCCTTTTGGAATGCACACGGATCCTCCGATTTGTGTATCAGAAATGGCTTCAGCTTGAAGCCAGCGACATTTCCACCCAACAGCAAGGTCATTCGGTCATGAAAGGTTTTATATCCAGGCATAGCTTGGGTTTCTCGGTGCAGGTAGGTGCCTTCTGGCAATTTTTTCCAGGATAACCTGATTGAGTTCACGCTGAATATCTGTTCGGGAAGATATTCCTCTTCTGCCAAGACATTATCAAGCTCGTCCCGGAACCGTTGGGCAGCTTCTTGGTCAAGGCCTGTGGTTTTCCCCTTGGTGGGTATGTTTCGGTAATTAAATCTTCGCTGAAACCGCAGAAACCAACCACGGCTGGCATCAAAGGTTTTGGTGCACGTCTCGCCGGCTCGCTCCTTCAGCATGGCGAAAATGCCACGCGTCTTCTCCTGAATGCAATGGAAGCTGATCAGGTCCCTCTTGCGGATCTGATCCTCGATCCAAAGCACCAGGAGTTGTTCCGTCTGGTGGATGAGGCCCATTCGGTTCCTTGTTATGGTGGTGTCCATTCCTGTGGATCCTTTGAGCAGCTCTCGGATCTTCTTTCTATCCCTCAAAATCGTCCAGACGGTGGTGCGGGATAGGCCTTCTTCTTCGGCGATAAGATTCGCCTTCTTCCCGGCTTCATTCGCTTTGATGATCTTCATCTTGAAATTGAGATCAAAGGACCTCCTTTGCTTCTTGATACTCCCTTTGGCTGAAGTGGGGGTCTCTGGGTTTATAGACACCTTGGTAGGGGGCGAGTCCGGGTGGTCGACGGCTTTCTGTCGTCTCGTTATCATTTTTCTTGTGCCTGGTAATTCCTTCGAAGCTTCTTTGATCCTTTTTGAATCCTTCAAAATTGTGAAGATGGTGGTATGTCCCAGGCCTTCTTCTCGGGCTATAGCTGTCACTTTCTTCCCACCTTCGTAGGCTTCAATGATCTTCATCTTCCGATCAATATTGATGGATGTCCTACGCTTCTTGCCACTTCTAGCAGCTGAACTGGGGGTGGTAGGCTTTGTAGACACATTGGTTGAGATTTGGGTTTGTGGGCATCTTGGTTTGAGGGGAGATGGGGCTGGATTTGGATCTGCAGACACATTGGTGTGGGCTGTGGGCGGGTAGATGTGGCTCTCCTGTGGTTTTGTGATAACTGTTCTTGTCTCTGGTAATTCTTTCATAGCTTCTTTGATCCTTTTCTGATCTTTCAAAATCGTGATAATGGTGGTACGGGCCAGACCTTCTTCTTGAGCGATAATCTGCGTCTTCGTCCCAGCTTCGTATGCTTTGATGATCTTCATCTTCAAATCAAGACTGATAGTTTTCCTAGACGTCTCACTGCACCCTTCTGCTGAACTGGGGGTCTTTGGCTTTGCAGATGTCTTGGTGTGGGGTGTGAGTGGACATAGGAGGCGTTTCCGTGCTTTTGTGATAATTTTTCTCGTCCCTGGTAATACCCTGAGGGCTCCTTGGATCCTTTTCTTATCTTTTAAGATGGTGGAATAGGACAGACCTTTCTCTTTCGCTATGATCTTCCTCTTCTTCCTGGCACGGTATGCTTTGATGATCTTCATCTTCAGCTCAAGACTGATGGACCTCTTTCTCTTCTTGCTGCCTCCTTCCGTTGAAATGAGGGTCTTACGCTTTGAAGGCACCTTGGTAAGGCGTCTAGATGTTTGGGGGATATCCTTTTGGTCTCCTGTCCTTGGTGACCTACTCATGGCTTCTCTGACCCCTTCCTTATTCTTCAAATTGGCCAAGATGGTGGAACAAGTCAGGTCCTTTTCTGCTGCTATCAGATCCACCTTCTTCTCGGCATCCTGGGTATTGGCAGCTGTCATTGTATGACTGAGATCAATTCTGGTCTCTTTGCTGCTGCTTTCATTTGAAGTGGGGTCCTCTGGCTCTGATGACATCTTGGTATGGGGTGCAATTGTGTGAGTGAGACCTTCCTGCTGTGTTGCTGTCATTGTCTTCATCCCTGGTGTTCTTTTATTCTCCTTTCTGATCCTCTTCTTGTTCTTCAACATGGCTGGGATGATGGAACAGGCCAGCCCACCTCTTCCTCCTCCTTCTTCTATCGTGTCCATCTTCTTCCCGGCATCATGGGCACTGAGGTCTTTCATCTTCGAATTGAGATCGACGGCCTTGCTTTGCTCCCCGTTACTTCCTTCATCTGAAGTGGGGTTCTTGGTATGGGGTATAAAGGCGCGTAAATAGTAAATAAGCAAGTGAAAATTGAAGAGCAGGTTATACGCGAGAGCGGTTTAACTAACTGCAATGACAAACTCAGGACTGGAATGATACAGGGTTGGACCAGAAGACCTCCAAGACCCCCTCCACCTCTGTTATTCTGAAATCTTATAGGGTTCTCCTGCTTGAGCAGGGGGTGGTTGGACTAGAAGACCTCCAAGGTCCCTTCCAATTCTGTTATTCTGTTAATCCTGATCGAGAGCGAGATACTACAAAGGTCATAAAAGCAGGCATTGGTCGCAAAGCTATTTTATTTTACAGGGAGTCCTCAACTTACGACCACAATTGGGACCAGAAATTCTGTTGCTAAGAGAGACAATTGTTTTAAGGGAGCCGCATCCGATTTTATGACCTTTTTTTGCCATGCTGCTAGGCAAATCACTGCGATGGTTAAATCAGCCACGTGGCCATTAATTCTGGATTCCCCCACGAATTGTGCTTCGGAAGGCCACACGTGGCGATCATGTGATTCCAGGAAGATGCGACCGCCATATGTACATGCCAAGTGCCCAAACTTTAATCACGGTGATTATGGGGATGCTGCAACAATGAGTCATAACCGAGAGAGTACCCGGGGGTGTTTTTTCAGGTCACTTTTTTCAGTGCTTTCGTAACTCCGAAACAAATGGTTGGAAGCCGAGGACCGCCCATATTGCCAACATGTTGACAGGTGGCTATCTGAGGTATTTGCTTAACGGGGACAGCCTTAGAAGAGGTTCAAGTTATTATTATTTTTTTCCTACTATAATTGAGAAGGGAGGGAAGAGCAGTTGCTAAAATAATGTTGCATCAGCTTGTGAGAAAATCAATGACAGGAGCCCTTCCTGTATTTAGGCCACAGCAGCGATGCCTTTAGCCCAATTCGGCCATGGCTTTCCAAAGGCAGAATTTACACAATGGCACAAAATCCAGGAGATTTGATCTAGGAAAGGAGCCAAAATCCTGCGACGAATTCTTGGATGCTTCCCGAAAAATTATCGGAAGTACAGGTAGTCCTCGGCTTACGACCACAATTGAGTCCAAAATTTATATGGCTAAGTGAGACATTTGTTAAGTGAGTTTTTGCCCCATTTTATGACCTTTCTTGCCACAGTTGTTAACAACTTATCAACTGCAGTGATTCACTGACGTGAATCCAGCTTGCCCATTGCCTTTGCTTGACAGGTCGCAAAAGGGGATCATGTGACGTGGGACATACAAAAGGGGATCATGTGACGTGGGACACATCATAAATACAAGCCAGTTGCCAAGCATCTGAATTTTGATCACATGACCAAGGGGATGCTGCAATGGTTGTCGTAAGTGTGAAAAAATGGTCATAAGTCACTTTTTTTTTAGTGCTGTTGTTAACTTTGAATGGTTACTAAACGAATTGTTGTAAGCCGAGGACTGCTGTAATTTTGCAAGGGCCAACTTTTTCATGCTTCTTCATTACAAAATTCCCCATTTAGTCAGATAAGAATTTGTTCTAAATTCAGTGTTTCTCAACTTTGATCCCTCTGAAGAAGTGTGGACTTCAACTCCCAGAATTCCCCAGCCACAAACTGAGATGAAGACCACCCCTCTTATAAAGTTGGGGGATTCTGGGAGTTGAAGTCCACTCATCTTCAAAGAGTCACAGTTAGGAAACCCTGTTCTAAACAATGCAGGTAAAAATTGATTGATTGGTTTCAAAGGATGACGATAACATCTAATTCATTTTTATGGAAAATCTCTTCTCTGTTTTAAATAAAGAACGAAAATCCCAAACACTTCCTACATCAATAACTCCCAACCCCCAGGTCACTGAAAATCTTATTTTTCCTTGTCTCCGAACTTTCAAGGAGCACCCCTTGATTAACCAAGTCACCCAGCAAAAGACTCACCTGGATCAGTTTGAGACACGTGAGCTTTTGTTCCGGTGTCTCAATTCGCACCATCAGGCGGGACAAACTGAGGACTTGATTCTTATCTGAGAGCCCTTCGCCATTCTCTAGGAGCGCTTCTAACTCTCCATCCACCTACAAAAAGCCAAAGGAGAGATTCTAGGCAAGGTACACAACCACAGAATACTTGCAGCTCAGGGCTGAGCTGGGGGGTGGGGACGGTGTCCTTGGCGCTCTCTGAGCTCTGTGGTTTCCTTGCAGATGTTACATTACCCAACTAAGTGACATCATCAGTGTTAAAAGGGAGTGGGCTTTGCAGGGAGGGTGAGGATAAGGGTGGGGAGGAGGAGGAGAAGTTGAAGCCCACCCCTCTTAAAGCATGCTGGCTGAGGGATTCTGGGAGTTGAAGTCCTCCCCTCTTAAAGCATGACTGGCCAGGGAATTCTAGGATTCAAAGGCCATCCATCTTAAAGTATGCTGCCTGGGGGATTCTGGGAGTTGAAGTCCACCCCTCCTAAAGCATGCCTGCTGGGGGATTCTGGGAGTGGAAGTCCACCCCTCTTAAATCATGCTGGCTGAGAGATTCTGGGAGTTGAAGTCCACCCCTCTGAAAGCATGACTGGCCGGGGAATTGTAGGATTCAAAGTCCATCCATCTTAAAACATGCCGGCTGGGGGATTCTGGGAGTTGAAGTCCTCCCTCTTAAAGCATGCTGGCTTATGGAAGAACCAATAGAAACGGGTCCAAAGTTAATTGAACAAATAGAGGAATATGGAAAAGTAGCTGGATTGAAAATAAAGATAAAACAAAAATTATAGTTAAAAATATGAGAGAAAAACAGAAGAAGCAATTAGTGGAGAACTTAGATATTCAAATAGTGAAGAAAGTGAAATATTTGGGTATCCAATTAACCTCAAGATGTATTACTGTGAAGGAAGATAACTATTATAAACTAAGAAACCAAACTGAAACAGATTTGAAAAAGTGGAAAAATTTACTATTATCTTTAATGGGGAGAATAGCGTTAATCAAAATGAATGTATTGCCAAGATTGTTGTTTTTCTTTCAAACAATTCCGATAAAGTTGGAGAAAAAATACTTTGAAAGTTTGAATAAAATGATGTGGAAGTATATATGGCAAGGGAAAAAAGCAAGAATTAACCTTAAATTTAAGATTCCAGAATTAGAGGAAGTTTTGGTCTACCAAATTGGGAATTGTATCACCAAGCGGCAATGTTAACTGGATTAAAGAATGGATCTTATTGAGAAATACAAGACTATTGACTTTGGAAGGACATGACTTACAATTAGGATGGCATGCTTTCTTATGGTATGGAAAAAATAGGATCCACGGCTATTTCCAAAGACATTGTGTAATGAATGGTTTGTTGGTAGTATGGGAAAGAGTAAAAGAAAAACATTATATGGAAGTACCAATGTGGCTTTCAATAATAGAAGCGTTGACACAGCAAAATATGATTAACATGGACAAGATTGTAAGATATAAAGACATTTTAACAGAGAAGGGAGAATTAAAACAGAAACAAGATTTAGAAAAACAAGGGATTGAGATTGACTAGTATACACAGCTGCCGATACAATCAAGATATGATAAAGACTTGAAACAATATGGCTTTAATTTGGGGGAATCAGAGTTGGATCAGATAATGACTGGAAAGGATGAAAAAATGATTAAAAGACTGTATAATTATTTGTTGCAAATTAGATAGGAAAATGACGAGGTAAAAGAGACAATGATAACATGGGCAAAATTTTTTGGATATGCAATAGAATTAGAGAAATGGCAGCAACTATGGGAAAGGAATTATAAATTGACAATGGCAACTGCATATAAAGAAAATCTATATAAAATGTTTTACAGGTAGCATATGCCACCAGAAAGATTAGCAAAGATGTTTAAGGATAAATCAGCCAAATGTTGGAAATGTTTGCATTTGTCGGGATCATACTATCATATGTGGTGGTCATGTTTAGAAGCAAAAAATTATTGGTCTAGAATACAGAAATGGTTGGAAGTAATATTACATAAATCTATACAATTAAAACCAGAGGTTTTTTTATTGGGTATTCTCCCAGAGAGATATAGTAAAGAAGATGTGTATCCAGGGGTGAAATGCTCCCGGTTCGGACCGGATCAGCCAATCCGGTAGCGATGGGTGGTTCGGAGAACCGATAGCAAAAATCCTTGTGCCTCCCCCACCCCCAAATGCCCAGCTGAGCCTCACGATCATCAGAGGCTTTTTTTTTTTTTACTTTTCAAAGCATTTTTTTCTACAATCTCTTCCGATGAAAAAATGCTTTTAAAAGTAGAGAAAAAAAAAAACCTCTGATGATCGCGCGACTCACCTGGGATTGTCAGAGGCTTTTCAAAGCATTTTTTTCTGCAACCTCTTGGCCGAAGAGGTGGTAAAAAAAATGCTTTGAAAAGTCTCTGACAATCCCAGCTGAGTTCCTGATCAGCAGAAAGGCTTTTCAAAGCATTAGAAAAAATGCTTTGAAAAGTTTTTTTTTTAAAGTTGGCCATGCCCACCCAGTCACATTACCCCCCCCCCAACCAAGCCAGGCCCACAGAACCGATAGTATCAGATTTTACATTTTACCCCTGTATGTATCTAATTATACATATAATAACAGCAGCAAGAATTGTATTTGCACAAAATTGGAAGACAGAAAAAAATCCATCAGGTGAAGGAATAAAAAAGATTTTAGACCGTGCAGAAATCAATAGATTAACTTTAAGAATAAGAGATAAAGAGGAATCAGTGTATTTCAAGACATGGGGAAGATTTTATATATGGTTAGAAAAGAAACATGAAGAGGATAGATAAATGATTTAGATAATAGAAAGTTAAATGAGGGAGAGGATAAAAAAGAAACAGAAACCCAGATGACACCAGAGTAAATGAAAAAGGGGGATGGGAGGGGGAAAAAGAAAGAAGATTATAAGAATAAACGTACAATTATGATGATAATACTAATAGATATGTATGATTAATTATGTATAAGGAAATATACATTTTATATTATGTGTAAAAGAAATAAAACTGAAAAAACTTTTTTTTAAAAAAAAAAAGCATGCCGACTGGGGAATTCTGGGAGTTGAAGCCCACCCATCTTAAAGCACAGTGGTCTAAGCACCCTGTTATTAAGACCAGCTGCTTGCAATTACTGCTGGTTCGAATCTCCCCAGGCTCAAGGTTGACTCAGCCTTCCATCCTTTCAAAGGTAGGTAAAATGAGGACCCAAATTGTGTGGGCAATAAGCTGACTTTGTATAAATATACAAAAGTATGAAGGCTATTGCTTAACGCATTGTAAGCTGCCCTGAGTCTCCGGAGAAGGGCGGCATATAAATCAAATTTAAAAAAAAAAAAAGCATGCTGGCTGGGGGATTCTGGGAGTTGAAGTCCATCCCTTAAAGCATGCCAGCTTGGGTGATTCTGAGAGTTGAAGCCCACCCCTCTTAAAACATGCCGGCTGGGGGATTCTGGGAGTGGAAGCCCACCCATCTTAAAGGGTGCGAATTGGGGGATTCTGGGGGTGGAAATCTACCCCTCTTAAAGCATCTTGGCTGGGGAATTCTGGCAGTTGGAGTCTGGCCCTATTAAAGGTAGACCCAGGTTGAGAACCATGGGTCTAAAGCTGCACAACGTTGCTTTCTGCAGTAGTGGCCAGAAAGAGAGATCTACACTTACATGAGGGAGAGCATGGGAGGAAGCACCACAGTGATCTAACGGGTCTACACTATCCCAATGTAACAATTAGGTTTTAGGGCTGTCGTGCACATGGAGGGCAGTAGCACAAAAGAACTCCAAAGCCACCCAATAGGATTGAGATCTTAAGCACCATACCAAACAGCTCAGTCCTCTCTTGGGTCAGAGAAGGTGACAAGGATGCCCTTTGCAGCTTTGGTGGATTGTGGGAGATCCAAGGGCTTCCAATCACCCGAGCGCCCCGTTCTTTTAAAAAGAACCACCCTGCTCCACCCACTGCTTCAATGCTTACCGAATCTTTTTTACGCGATCGCTCTTTTTTCATTTTGCCTCCCGCAGCACGAATGCTGACCCGGTTCTCTCCGCCCAGGTAACCCCGACAATTGGTGGAGCCACAGAAACATTTCTGGGCTTCTTTGCTGTTGGAAACAAACATCACAACAGTGAGGGACTGAAACAGGCTTCATCTCATCTTTATCTCTATTTTTCCATCCATCCATCCATCCAATATGAATATAATTCTACCTATCTATATTCATCCAACATGTATGCATGTCTGTCCACCCACCCACCCACCTCTCTCTCCCTCCCTCCCTCCCTCCACAATTGTTAAAATGAATCTCTGCAGTTGTTAAGTTAGTCACAAAGTTGTGAAGTGCATCTGGCTTCCCCACTGACTTTGTATCATAAATGCACGCGACCACAGGGATGCTGCAATGGTCATAAATGTGAAAAGGGTCATGTCACTTTTTTCAGTGATGTTGTAAATTCGAAAACTCACTAAATAAATGGTTATAAGTCGAGGAGTCCCTGTACTTACACTAAAAATCAAACCTATGTCTGTTTTTGTAGATATTAAAACAAGCCTTAGCTACCAAAACACAATTCAAAAAAGTTTCTTATGGAACAATCACATGGGAGAAAAGTGTTCAGAACAGCTTGTCATATAAATATCAAAGAACTAATGCTAATCAACCCTGAATTAAAACATTTTCAGCATCATTTAGACCAGTGGTCACCAACCGGTGGTCCACAAGAAAATTTTGGTGGTCCGCAGAGAAATCGTTGCATTTCTCTCGAGGTTTTCTGCACCACTCGCACTTCAGCGCTTTGACTCCCAGAGACAGGATGGGGTCCTTCAGGCAGTTAGCTTGGCCGCCTGTTAGCGGAGAGGAGCAGCCGGAGCCAACCCTGGCTTTGCTGTCCATTGCAGATGCTAAATCGGCCCCCTGCAAACTCTCGTCTCTTGAGGAGTGCTTGCTGAAGCGGCACGAGAAACTTTGACTGGGCTTCTCAAGAGAGATGAGAGTTTGCAGGGGGCGGTTCTAGCGTCTGCAATGGACAGCAAAGCCAGGGTTGACTCCGGATGCTTCTCTCTGCTGTAAGTGCTTCCTCAACGCGGTTTACCGCTCCGAGCCCCAAGGGCCCCCTCATCAGTCCCCCACAGGAGCTTCCCTCCAGCCGGCAGGTCGAGCCCAGCGCCAGGTCTCGTATGCCAAGCCGAGCCCTTTGTCTACTCCAAGCCATCCCCCATCAGGGGGACCGCACAAAGCCCCCACCACCCCTTCCATCCTTCTGCCCCCAGCCAGCCTTTTGGATGAGGTGAAAATACTGGATCTTCAGAGGCTGGATGGCTACGGCCGGGGAAAAAAGGAAGAAGAGATATCTTAGAGGTATCTTTGCCCGACTTTTCTGCACAAAGCTCTTTCTCCTTCTTTCCCTGGGGGGGGGGAAGACCCCTTCCTCTTTTTGTATCCAGCAGGCACTTTCCAAAGCTGGCTTTTCCAGTGTTAGCTTCCCAAATTCTTTTTTTGATTGTGATTTTTTAAAATTATTTTTTTTTACATCGGCTGTCCCTTTCCGGACATCTCTGTTTTTCTCATTGATTTTTTCCCCCCAACCATTACTTTCCCAAGTCTTCCATTTGCTTCCAACCTTTTTTTTTTTGCCTGTGCGATTTAAAAACAAAGATTTAGAAACAGGGGGCTTTAAAGACTTCTCTTTGTATTGGATTGGTGGATAAATCCCAGGCATGAATGTGCCTATACATTTAAAATGGGAATGAGTAGAAATTCTTAAAAGAAATTTAGCATGAAGCGGGGGAACTGAGATTTGTTAGCTTTGCTTTCTTTGCTCCGTTGCCTTGATTACCGTATGTTGTGCAAAAAATAATAATGGTGCAACAGTTAGGATTCTAGGTTGATGCTGATTAAATTTAAAATAGGACAGTTATGAACAGTGTACTGTCATGTAGGGAAGAAATGATAAAATGGAAAAAACGCTGTAGTGCTTCCTGGATGCGGTTTACCACTCTCGAGCCCCAAGCGGCAGGAGACAAGGGTGCCTTGGTGCTACCAGCTGGCGCAAATATACCACAGCGAAGGCGGAATGCTAATGCCATACAAATGCAAGTAGCACTTCGCTCCCACACCCCCACCCCACCCTGTAACAGCACCATTATCTTGTTCCGGCCAACAAGGGCTGCGCTCATTTTTGCATGTTGCAGCACCTGCAAAGTTGCACATTGCATGTACCACCCCCTATGGCGGAGATTTCCACCCCCACCACGGCCCGGTCCCATATTCCAGAGCTGTGGTAGTCACAGGACTGGCCCTTTGGTCATCCCGGAGCAGCTCCTCCACCTGGGTGCACCGGCCTGCAGGGGAGATGCCTGCTCCTCGGCAGGCTGGTACACCTGGGTGGAGGAACTGCTCCGGGATGACCAAAGGGCCAGTCCTGTGACTATTACAGCACCAACGTCATCAAGCTGTCAGTCTGTCCGTCTTCATTTTCCTTCACTCAGATTGACCAAGCTTCTTGAGAGAAGGAACACAAAAGAGGTTTCCAGGCTGTGTGTCTGGACCAGGCACTTTTTCTTGGGCCTCCCACCTGAAGGCCTCGCAGAAGCAGACAGGTAGACCCGAAAGGTGGCTGAGCCTCCCCCCTACCCGCCCCAAGGATCCACGGGATTTAAAATTATGAATTTGGTGGTCCCTGAGGTCCAAAAGGTTGGAGAGCCCTGATTTAGACAAACCATGTACTACACAAGTTTCTTATTCTCGCGTTCAAGATAGTCACCCTGGCTACATCAACTACTCAAATTTTAAGAGGACAACTGACTTCCTCCTTCCCTCCCTCCCCCTTCTTTTCCCTCACTTTCCACCTTCCTTCATTTTTCCTCCAGTCTCCCCTCCCCTTCCATCTCCCTTCCCTCCTTTTCTTTTGCCTCTCTCCTCTTTCCCTCCTTCCTTCCCTCCCTCCCATCTCCCTTTCCTTCCTCCCTCCCATTCATCCAACCCCTTCCCTTCCCCTTCCCACTTCCTTCCTCCTCTCTTCTCTCCTCCCTTCTTTCCTTCTCCCCACCCCCTTCCCACTCTCAATTAAAAAGAGATTTAACAAGAAGATGGAAAGATCAGATTCTCCAAATTAATCAGCTGCACTCTCAAATATATTACAGAGTTCAATTTCTTCTCTGCAAGAATATTGGAATATTTTCAAGAAGATGACCTGGAAAGTGCTCTAGCTCTTCCTGCTCAGGAGAGAAAAACAGCGAAGAAATGTGATGAAACAAGGAAGCAACACCTACCCGTATCGCTGGAACTGGTAGTCGAAGGTTAGCTCCGAGCCGGAAGTTACTAGCTTGGTGGTGAAAAAACCCACCCTCAACTGACCATTCACAGTCCACTAAAACAGAGGATGGGGGGGATGGGGACAAAAGATGACAATAGGATTAAATTGCAACTTTATAACTGCGGCATCTTAATTTTTAAGTGTGCTAGAAATCGTGGTTACTTTGAAATACTTGGTTTCAGACTGCTAAAAGATGTATGTTTATCTTCTATATATATATACAAGCGAAATCCCACTCACACATCATCATGAAATCTCGAGAACTGTAAAGCCTACAAACTTGAAATTTGGCACGTATGTTCCTCTTGGCTTCTAGGGGCTTGCTAAGCAAGGGTTTTTTGAAATGACCATCCCATCATTTGTATTTCTTATATTATTATTGACACGCTCGGATGCCAAGGAGTTAGACGTTCTACTCCCCCTCCCCACCTGAAAAGAACTCTGTTCCAACTGCCACTTGGGTGTGGGCGTGGCCAGTGCATGACTCATCCAGCCTGGGAGCTGGGAGTTTAGACGTTCTACTCCCCACCCAAAAGGGAGAGAAGCAGTGGTGGGTTTCAAAATTTTTTGCTACCGGTTCTGTGGGTGTAGCTAAGTGGGCGTGGCATGGCTTGGTGGGTGTGGCAGGGGAAGGGTACTGTAAAATCTCCATTCTTTCCCCAATCCATGGGAAGGTTACTACAAAATCCCCATTTCCTCCCGATCAGCTGGGACTTGGGAGGCAGAGAATAGATGGGGGCGGGGCCAGTCAGAATTTTTACTACCGGTTCTCTGAACTACTCAAAATTTCCACTACCGGTTCTCCAGAATTGGTCAGAACCTGCTGAAACCCACCTCTCCTCTAGAGAGAAGGGGATAAGATAGGAGAGGATCAATGGGGCCAGCCTGAGGGAGAGAAGGGGATAAAGATAGGAGAGGAGAGGCTTCTGTGGGGCAATTCTGAGGGAGAGAAGGGGAGAGGAGAGGCCGATCATATCTATTTATCAATTTGTCAAACCCGATCAAATAGTTTCATAGTGGAGCATGGGTATCCAGGTAGTATGAACATATATACAGCTATGGAACTGTCACACCCCAAAATGGGGGGAGCAGGAAGACACACAACCATTGGAACTTAAAATCCAGCTTGTAAGTTGCCCCCAGGTTAGTCATCTACTTTTATTTAAAAATACTTCTCTTGAAAATGTCGGTCTGCCGGGGGGGGGGGGGGGGGGGAAAGCAAACTTGTGCTCACATCACTGTTCCACGACTCACCTTCTGTGTCTCACAATTTGGTTCGCAGCTGTGGTTCATGAAACGAGAGCAGTTCCCTTTTTGCGTGGCGTCGATTATCTGAAAAGGGAAAGGAAATCGCTACAGAGCCAGTGCTCATTTTAACGACCACTTGTTCCGTGACCGTTCAAAGTTACGACGGAGCCGAAGAAGTGGGACTGATGGCTGGTTTGTGGCCTTTCCTGCTGGTTTCCTTCAAGCAAAGCCAGCGGGAAATCGCATGTCTCAGTCACAAGATGTCCTCGCTTAAGAACCATGCAGGTTTTGTTTAACAACGGCAGTCCTGGAAGTCCTGGAACACCTGCCACGAGTCACATGACATCACATTTTTATGACCGCGTCACTTGGTGAGGAGTACCTCCAAATTATTGTGGTTAAACAAGGACTATCTGTACCTCTTTTAAAAAAAGGGGATAAAAAAAATGAACAAAACATACAAAAACACACACAGGTATGTGAGCTACCATTGCCAGTTCCATTGTAAAAAAACAGCAGCTACTGCTACTGTCCAGAGGTTTTCTATATGTGCAGGCCTCGATTTACGACCATAATACAATTTCCATTGCTAAGCAAAGTTGCCTGATTTTATGACCTTTTTAAAGGCCACGGCTGTTAAGCAATTCACTGCAGTTGAATGAATCATTTAGTCGTTAAGACGCTTCTCCCGGATTTAATTCTCGGAAAACTTTTTGGGAAGGCCGCAAATGGCGATCAAGTGACCCAGAGACACAGCAAGTCATGGATGACACACCGGGTGCCAAGTGCCGTGGGGGGCAACTGTCATAAATACGAGCCAGTTGCCAAGCACCCAAATTGTGATTGCATGACAGTGTGTGAATGTGGAGGCGGTTGTAAGGGCGAGGACTGGTCATACGTCACTTTTTTGGGAGCTGTTGTAACTTCGAACGGTCGCTAAGGTGTGGTAAGGCAAGGATAACCTGTACCAAATTAACTAAAGTAAAAGACATAAACAAGAGCCATTGTGACTTCAGACAGTCACTAAATGTATGGTCATTAAGTCGAAGGTGGCTCATGGCGAGTTATCCGCTATAATTTTTTCCGATGAATGCTCACCTCATCATTTTTCAAGGCCATGAAGTAATAATGGATGTTCTTGCTTCGGGCATATTCCTTCACTCGAGTTTTAAATTCTTTGTGATCCAAGACTTCTCCACAGTATTCGAGGACAAAGGTGTTACTAAGCAAGACAAATGGAAGTCAAGATGAAAAAAAGGTAAACATGCACAATTAAAACACAGCAATATTAGTATGTTTGCATGCATCTATCTATCTATCAATGATCTATCTATCTATCTACCTATCTACCTACCTACCTACCTACCTACCTACCTATCCTGTTTCCCCCAAAATAAGACATTCCCTGATAATAAGCCCAATAGGGCTTTTGAGCGCATAGCAATAAGGCCAAGCGCTTATTTCAGGGTTCAGAAAAATATAAGACAGGGTCTTATTTTCGGGGAAACACAGTACCTACCTATCTACATCTCTTTCTCTCTATAGATATATATACTGGCATCTGTATCTCTATCTCTATATAAAAAGTCTGGGACTTTGCAAATCCTTTCCAATATTTAAGGGCCAAATATGCTGGACTCTCTCATTTATATTCCTGTAAATGAATGCAACTAAATGAATTACAACCATCCATTTAGTGACTTCTCGAATTTATAACAGCACTCAAAAAAGTGACATGGTCATTTTTCACATTTACGACCATGGCAGGATCCCTGTGGCCACATGATCAAATTCAAACATGACAATAAAGGTTATCATAATAGTACCGTGGCTTTGACCCACAACTGAATTTAAGGAGTGATGGGGTGCTCCCTAGCAAATTTGCTGCCTTCAAGTGAATCACAGCTCCATGTTTCTCCTAGTATAGATAGTCCTTGCCTTATGACGAATAATCGAGCCCCACACTTCCATTGCTAAGCAAGGCAGTTGTTTTGCCTCATTTTACCACCATTGTTAAGTGAATCACTACAGTTATTAAGTTACATGGTTGTTAAGTGAATCTGGCTTCCCTATTGACTGTACATGTCAGAAAATCGCAAAAGGGGATCACATGACCCCGGGACATTGCAACCGTCATAAATATGAGTCAGTTGCCAAAAGTCCGAATTTTGATCACATGACCATGCAACGGTCCTTAAGTGCGAAAAACAGTCCTGTTGTTCTTTCCAGTGCTGCTGTAACCTCAGACAATGGCTGACTGAATGGTTGTAAGTCGAGGACTATCTGTACCCATTTACTACCTTCTTTCTTGAGAAGGAGATTGGAGGAGAAGGAAGGTTTGAACATTTTTCACTTTAATCTTATTAATGCCTGGTTTTAATAATTGATTGGGATGGGGAGGAGAGCCTTTATCAGATTGTGCAGCCTTGGAACAGTTGCAGAGGACGGTTAAAAGTCTCATCATGTTTTCTTCGTGTTTGGTCTAGTGCAGGTGTCAGCAACCTGTGGCTCTGGAGCCACATGAGGCCCTTTCATCTCACTGCTGTGGCTCCGTCGGGTGATCCCACCACTGGCTGGCCCCACCCCTCGCCCTCCCCTCCCAGTGACTCCTCGCTTGGCCTGAGAAGGTAAGGGCAACGGCGTGGGATGGAGACTCCGTATTCCAGAGCAGGAGTGAAGGCCCAGATTTCCTCCGCTTTCTGCGTTCCCACCCCGCGCTGAAGTGAACCAAACAGGCTGGGATCTCCCTCCCCGCTAAGCAGCCCCGCCAAGCCTGCTTGCAAACTCCACCAAGTGTGGCTCCAAACGTTTGGCTTGTGCATCCCTCCTGGCTCCGTCCCATCTGCTGCGGCGCCTGCCTCCACCCGGATGGCTGAGCCCTCCCTGCTAGAGCAGGAGGGGCACCCACCGCCCTCTGCCCGCTTCTTGCTGCCGCCCTCCTTCCGCTTCCCTCCGCCCAGGAGGTGCTGCACCACCACCTCGCCAGCTGACAGGGAATGCAGTGGCGCCGGCCCAGGAGCCTTCCTGGGGCTGAGCGCGCAGCGGCCACAGGGGCCCCTCGGCGACGACTTTGCCTCCTACCTGTGTATAGAGGTTGGCCATCGTGGCAGTGGTGGTGAAGATGCATGCCCTGCCTGCTCCACTTTTGCTGGCCAGAGGTGGGGCTCTGTGCCACCGCCTCCCAGCCGGAGTACCTCATTCATTCATTCATTCATTCATTCATTCATTCATTCATTCATTCATTCAGTCGCATTTCTATGCCGCCCAACTCCCAAGGGACTCTGGGTGGCTTACAACAAAGAATAAAACAATGCGAACAATCCCATAAAAAATGTTAAAAAGAAAAACATTAAAAACTTTAAAAACGTTAAACCACACGCGCTCCAATTCGTGGCCGGGTCTCGCGAGATCATTATAACGATTTGTTTGCTTGCTGACCGTCTCCAAGGAGGAAGCTGCCCTTGGGTCACCCGGGCCCCCACCGCGGGGGGAGAGAGGGAGAGGGAAGTGGGGTGTCTACCCCACAGGATCTGGGTTGGAGTTGCCTTATTTTGTGTGGATTTTCAAGGCTTGGCTTTGCCTGCCAGCCACCACTCCCCCTCCACAGAATCCAAGTGGCTGGATTCACACAACACATGAAGCTGGGCAGGAGAGCATGGATGGATGGATAGATGATAGAGACGGGGGGGGGGGATGGAGGGAGAGAGAGAAAGAGAGAAAAAGAGAGAGAGAGAGATACCTGTTTCCCACAGAAAACACCAGGAGCCACAAAACCTGAGTGGGGGTGAGTTTGAATTGGACACACCCATCTAGGTTTTGTGACTCCCAGTGTTTTCTTTTCTGTGAGAAACGGGTCCAAATGGCTCTTTGAGTGTTTTAAGGTTGCATACCCCTGGTCTAGTGGTGAAGGTACTAGGCTAGAAAGCAAGAGTTGGTGAGTTCTAGTCCCGCCTCAGGCATGAAAACTATCGGGGTGACTTTGGGTCAGTAATCAGCAGAAGGCGACTTCGAGACCTGCCATACGCATGAAAGCCTGTTGGGTAACTCTGGCGAATCATTAGGAGAGGGTAAGTTCTAGTGCCACCTTAGACATCTAAGTCAATTGGGTGACTGAATCAATCACCAAGGGATGGTGAGTTCTAGTACAGCCTTAGGCATGAAAGCCCGGCTGGGTGATTTTGGGCCAATGACCAGGTGACAGCGAGTTCTAGTACCTTAGGTAACTTTGGGCCAGTCCCTTCTCTCAGCGAACCCCCTTCACAGAGTTGATGTTGTGGGGAAAATAGGAAGAGGAAGTTGTGTTGTGTATGTTCACCCTCATTTGTAAAAATAACAAAGGTGTGATACAAAACACACATAAAAGCATAAAAACCCCCACGATTCATAGAATCACAAAGACACACATGTGGCTAAGGATCCACCCCAGGACCTGGACGGCTTTCTTTTTTTTTTTGCAAGATTTCTGTGCTTCTCAAAAGCGAGTGCAGTTGGTGGAGACTTACGAAGGAAGGTCCTTGGCTGCTCTGAGCCCCCAGCCCTTCTTCTCCGTCAGGATGACTTCCACGTCTGCGTGCTGCTTCCTCTGAAACCGCCGATTCGAACAATGCTCTCCGTTGGGACACCTGGAGGAACTGAGGACAACAGAGCAAGTTGCACAAGCGCACGGGGCCCACATGCAGAATGGCTCTATGGCATCTATTCCCAGTTGTATCTACCCAACCCAACTGAGCAGAGAGGCAGGAGATGTTATTATCCCTTTTCTAAAGGAGGTCCATCTGGTGGGGCTCAGAAGAAGGGTCTTCTCCGTGGTGGCTCCCTCCCTGTTGCTTGAAGGACTGTCTTTTCCCAGTTACATTCATTTGACCCACCAGAACAGGAAGGAAGGGGATGTTATGGGTCTACTGTTTTAAGGAGGTCCATGTGGTGGAGCCCAGAAAGGTCTCCTCCATGGTGGCTCCTTCCATGTCATTTAAAGGGCCCTCTTTCCACAGTTATACCTACCTGACCTGCCAAAGCAGAGAGGCAAGAGATGTTATGGGTCTCCTCTTTTAAGGAGACCGGTGGGGCCCAGAAGAAGGATCTTCTCTGTGGTGCCTCCCTCCCTGTTGCTTGAAGGACCCTCTTTCCCCAGTTACATTCATTTGACCCACCAGAGAAGGGAGGCAAGAGATGTTATGGGTCTCGTCTCTTAAGGAGGTCCATCTGGTGGGACTCAGAAGAAGGATCTTCTCCATGGTGGCTCCCTCTATGTTATCTGAAGGACCATTTTTACCCAGCTACATCTACCCGACCCACCAGAATGGGGAGGCAGGAGACGTTATGGTCCCTTCTCTAAAGGAGGTCCATCTGGTGGGGCTCAGAAGAAGGGCCTTCTCTGTGGTGGCTCCTTCCCTGTGGAACATCATCCCTACAGAGATAAGACTGGCCTCTATTTTGACACTCTCAACAGCAAGATCCTATTTTTCTTAGGAAGTTATCGCTGAACATAAAGGAGAGAGAGAGAGAAAGACAGAGACAGGAAGGCAGGAGCCAAATGAATAAAAACTGGAGAAAAGGTTTAATCCTATCGATACAGGTAGTCTTTGATTTATGACCAATCGCTTAGTGACAGACCTCCCAGGTCTGCTTACAGCCCTGGTTTAAAGCTTTGACACCTGCTCTCCTATGGGTCACATGACTGCATGACACTCAACAACTGGACCACGTTTACAGCTGCTTGTACTAAGACTACAATTCACGATAGGGTTTTTTCTCCTCCTAAAAAACAGTATTTACTTTTCATTTTTGGCAAAAAAAAAAACCCCAAAAACATTGTAGGTAAAGGATTCACTTAACGACCTCCACAAAAAAAAGTCATAAAGTCAAGCATGGGCATATGGTGTCCCGATTAATTTCCAGCATTACTTATGACCATAGTTTTGGGCTCGATTGCAGTCATAAGTCGAGGACTACTTGTAAGAGGGAACTACACTTGCTTTGGGCAAAAATTAGCAACATGCAGTACAGAGTCGGAAGGGACCTTGGAGGTCATCTAGTCCAACCCCCTGCTCAGGCAAGAGACCTGTACTAGGGATTCAAACCGTCGAACTGCCGACCTTTCTGATTGACAAGCTCAGTGTCTTGGCCACTGGGCCACCTAGTTAGGTCATATGATATAAACCTCATGACCGCTAGCAAAGGAAAAAGAGGGGGAAAAGTCGTGTATTCCTCATCTACCAACGCCGACTATTAAAATAAAAACGATGAGTATTTTTACCATTCGATCATCAGGAGACGGTTCAGACAATCCTCTCCGCACGCCGCCTCTCCCTGGGCTAGTTCCTCTTTGGAAACAGTTGGACATTCACACAGCATCCGTTTGATGTCTCGGTGCGACTTATTCTTTTTTCTAAGGAGATGGTGTTACATTGACCAAAAAAAATTAGGAAAATTTCCTTTTGAACAGAATAAATAATCCTGGCCTGATTATTTTGCTACCACTTAACCTCAGCGTCTTTAAGGCAGTATTTCTCAACCTTGGTAGCTTGAAGATGGGTGGACTTCAACTCCCAGAATCCCCCAGCCAGCAGCGCTGGCTAGGGGATTCTGGGAGGTTTTTTTTTTTTCTTTTAATTTATATGCCGCCCTTCTCCGGAGACTCTGGGCGGCTTACAATGCGTTAAGCAACAGCCTTCATACTTTTGTATATTAATACAAAGTCAGCTTATTGCCCCCACAAACTGGGTCCTCATTTCACCTACCTTAGAAAGGATGGAAGGCTGAGTCAACCTTGAGCATGGTGAGATTCGAATTTGCAGTAATTGCAGGCAGCAGATGTTAATAACAGTGCTTTATTCCACTGTACTACAGGCTCTTGTCCACCCATCTTCAAGTTACCAAGGTTGAAAAACACTGCTTTAAGGTTAAGGCCAAATAGTTCCAGAACCTCCGTAAGCTCTTTATTTATAACTGTGCTTGGTGAACACACTGCTTTATGTTCACAACTCTATGATGTCACAGTTGTGCTGGCCTTCCCACATATCCATTGCAGGCTGAATTTTGTGGCCACATGAACCCCCATAAAAGACGTAGCTACTTTAATGAGCCATCAGACTTGAGTAAATTCACACCCGATCCAAAGCATTTTCTCCTCACTGGATATGAATGGAGTACCTCTTCGGCTCTTCCTTTTTTCCCCCCGCTAGAGATCCCTGAGCAAGTCAAAAGTACAGGATGGAATGATCCACCCCGTTCTCACACTCTTAGGTACAACATTTTGGATTCTATGGGATAGCCAAGTCCTGCCCCACTTGGTCCAGCAGAAGGGGTATGCTCAGGATACCGTCAGCCAAGAAATTTCTGCTGGCGGGATCCAGAAGAGCATTTTCTGCTCAGGCCCCTGCTTTTTTGAATTTCATGCCGCTTGCAACAGAAAGAGTGGCAGAACTGTGGGACGTAGTGAAAAGTGGCATCAGCCTAGAACCCTTATGTAGCCACAAGCAAGTTAAGTCCAACTCTCCTTGAATTATGCTGACCCTTATCTAACTCTTAGCAGGAGCTACCTGGTAGTTGAAAAGATTCCTGTGGACAGGTTTTTAACAATAAATCAGGAGACGGTGAGTTCTAGTCTCACCTTAGGCATGAAAACCAGATGGGTGACTTTGAGCCAATCACCAGATCGGGAGTTGTAGTGCTGCCTTAGGCATGAAAGCTGGCTGGAAGAGTTTGGGCCAAATCACTGGGAGACAGTGAGTTGTAGTGCTGCCTTAGGCATGAAAACCATCTGGGTAACTTTGGGCTAATCACCAGGAGATGGTGTATTTTAGTTTCACCTTAGCCATGAAAGCTGGCTGGGTGACTTTGGGCCGATCACTAGGTGATGCTGAGTTCTAGTTTCACCTTAGGCACAAAAGGTGACTGGGTAATTTTGGATTGAGTACTCTTTCTCAGCCCAATCCACTTCACAGGTTGTTAAAACAGGAGAAGAAAGTTGTGATGGATACGAGTTATGTGTAGAAATAATAAAGATGGGATACAAATAAATAACATTACCTTTCCGTCAAATACACGTTTTCTTCAATGAGGTCGAAGTAGCAGGGCATTTTCCCTTCCTTGGCATACTCCTTCCAACGCTGGGGGTCCCGGAAGTCTTCCATAAAACACAATGGACGATCCGTCAGGGAACCCTGGGGCAGGATGGTCAATGGCTCGCTCTCTGTTTTCAGTTTCTTCCTTTCCTGGGAGCCCCCATCGCTCTCCGAATCGCTCCCCAAGTCGGTTATCCTTTTCTTTAATGGCCCTCGTTCCTTCATGTCGTTTCTTTCCATTGCCTTAGTCCCTTGCTCTTTTCTCTCTCTTGCCATCGGGAAGTCTTTAGCCGAGTTGCTGCTGATCTCGTGGGCCTGTACCGACCCCTTTTCCCTGGGGTCCCGTGACTGGAACTTCACCGACTGGTCAGGGAAATAGAGCTGGGATTCGTCCACCCATCGGTCCACTTCTTCGTACTCCTCGTGATCCTCAGTGAGCGAATCGGGGACCTGTCCTTGGAGACGCTCGTAACTAATGGCAGAAGGTCGGTTGGTCAGCCTTGGATCCCAGTAGCCGTTGTCAGGCCAGTAGCTGTGAGATCCCACGTACGGGACTGGGGGCGGGGGATAAATATATCCTGGGAAAACTCCATAGCTACTATCAGGCTGTTGGTATGTGCTGCTGGGCTTCTCTGGTTGGGAGAAATCCCACCCCAAACTCCCCAAGTCCTCCGTCGAATGAAAGCCATCCTCCCGCGAGAAATCGGTAGGATGGGAAAGACCCGCAAAAGCAGACCTCCCCTGCCTACGGTCCAATTTGGAAACGCCAGCCATTGTGTTGGTCATTTCAAAACCAGAAAGGTAGTGCAAATCTTCTCCTTGTGATACACCGACCGACCGAGTGACCGAGGTCGTCTCGTTGTAGATGATTCTCTCATCTGGCTTATGGAAAGAATCGGTAGCTGGCTCGGAGTGGCTGGTGCTGTCAACGTCGTCGCTCTGAGGCTGGGAGGCCTCCGGCTGAGGGCCCCCGGACACCTCGGTTCTCTTGAGCTCTGTCGACATTGCTACGCTTCTCTCTGACTCTCTAGAAGGCAAAGTTCTGGTTTCATTTGACAGGTTGTTATTCAGTTCCAAGCTATCCGGCACATCTTCACAGAATGGCTTGGTAGACTCGGGCCGGCTGTCTTCCCAAGGGTCCATGTAACGTCGATTACTCTGGCTGTTCCGTGAAGAACACGAGCTGCTCTCTTCCAGAGTTAGGGTGGAATTTTTTGGAATAACCACCACGGATTGAAGGCGGTTCCTGGGAACACTGCTATCATCCGAATCAGAGTCCTCGCTCTCGCTCTCGTCGCTCAGATGTTCACTCGCGCTTTCGGCCGTATCGGAATAATCTTCGTTGTGGACGGAAGAGATTTCTGGACTATTGCTGCTGCTTCCATATCTGGGCTCTTCTTCTATGGTTTCTGTTTCCTCTACGGTGACGACAATTTGACAAGAAGGGGACAACACTTCTGAAAAGGCGGATTCCATCAGAGAGTCCTCTTTGTCTTTCATCACCAAAACTCCAGGAGCTGCTTTGTCTAAGTCGGACGTCATCCCTTCATCAAAGACTACTTCATCTTTCTCCTCAAGTTCTTCCTTCTCAGGAACCTTCTCGGGTTCCTTCACTGGCATCTCTAAATAATAACAATGCTCATTTTTCAAAGGAGATTTTGCTTTTTGGACAATGGAATCTGCAGGCAGGACATCTAACTCAAGGAAAACTTCAGGGCATTTTAAGACTTCTTTAGCCGTCTGTTGGATGGGTGTCTCCAGATGGAGCACATTTTCAGAAGTTGGTTGTTGCTGATTGTCTACTTCCACAATATACTCTTCTGTTGTAAAACCTCCGACTGGTGTGGGCTCCGCTGAACTGAAACCTGCGTATTTCTCATTTTCCTGAGCCAACTCGGATGGATTTTGATCTTCTACATTAACCGATGTGAATGTTTGAGTGGGGATCTCTGTGTGAATGCCCATAGGAGGTTCTTGAGCAGCTTCTGTGTCTGAAGGCTCCACTTCAATTTCAATTTCTGAATAAGACAAAGAAACAGAGGTGTCATCTGGCAAGTAGCAAGGGGCGGGATCTTTGGTTTTACAAGAGGAATCTGTTGGATCACTCCCTTCTTTAGGCAAGGTTTTAGAGTGACTGACCTGCTTGGTAAAAGAAGATACACATTCAGATGAAGAAGGATTTGAAACCTCCATTTTTACTTCCAGCAACTGGACGTTGGATTCACCAGAAAAAATGACAGGCTCATCTGGATTGTACCCTTTGGGTAGAGACAGGGTTTGGAGACCGTTTGATGATAGCTTAGGACTTTTGGCTCGAGGGTGTAGCTCAGATTCATCTAAATTATCATCAGAAGACAGGTCGATCTCGTCTACTTCAAAGGAAGAAGATAACCTCTTCCGGGTCCTCCGTTCTGGGGACCCATTTATATCCAGTTCTACTGGAGAAGATGTCCTTAATTGCTCGTGTCTTACTTTATCTAAAGATCCCGTGTCCTTAATACTGATATGGCTATCGATTCCTGCAAGTTCATTTACCATAGAAAGAGGAGAACCCATTTTTGATTCATCTAGCTTTCTGAATGTCAGTGAGTCACTGAACTGACTTACTGGAGAGACAGTCCTCTCCATTTCTGGCTTCTGGGTAAGAGCAGTTTTCGTTTCACAACCTGATACACCAGAAGTCTCTGAGTCTACACAATTAGACTGATCTTTGACGTCCTCAGATTCTGTACAACAGAAAGAACTCTTAAATTTATCTGACTTGGGCGCAGATGTCTTGGAAGAGGTGGACTTGGATCGGGACGAATTCCCACTGCCTTCTGCTTTAGAATGGGAGGCTTCCCGCCGATGTCGCGGCTCGTTGACGGGTGAGGACCTTTTTGATATGTCACTTTCGGAAATCCTTCGTGTTTCTCTTTCTGACCTGGCCTGCTTTCCTCTTCTCTCCATGTCAGGATAAGTGGAATCTGTCTTGCTGCTTTCCCTCTCTGACTTTGAATAAGAGGACGAGGTCCTGGAATCTCTGTAAGATGAGGAATGAGAAGACGCATGCCGTGAATCTGTAGACAATCTAGAATGCACCCTCCGATACTCTTCTTCCGAATCGGAACTCTCTCGCACCCGGCTGTCCATGTAAGAACGGGAGTACCGCGTCTTCTCTCTGTACGGTGAGCTTCTGGGGTATCTCCGGTCAGAATCGTAGTAATGGGACCGCTCGGATCTAGAATAAGACGAGCTGGTTCTAGAACCCCTTTCAGATCTAGAACGGGAGCGGCTTCGCCTCCTCTCCCTCTCTGATCTGGACCGTGAGGAGTACCTCGAATCTCTCTCCGATCGGGAATAGCTGGAATACTTGTCATCCCTTTCCGATCTAGACCGCGAAGAGACCTTTGGCGGCTCTTCCATTTTTGAAGCCACAGAGCTTTTCCGTGAATCCTTTTCCTTCTCCGAGCTGGCTGTTGCCTTGATTTCGTGGGACCGCTGACTTGAGGAGGTCCTCACTGAATCTTCATCCGACTCAGATCCTGGCAACGCCCCCTCTGACAATGAGAACTTCCTCCTCGGCTTCTTTGAACTTGGGGTACCCTTGGAGATGTCTGCAATTTCTTCTTCCTTCCCAATGTGGGAATGCCTTTTCACCAATGCTGGTTCGACTTCCTCAGAAACACCTGGAACCAGATGTTCTTCAGAGTCCCCGAGCACAGTGTTTTGTAGTTCCAAAGCCTGCTGTGGTGGGCTGAGTGATGGTTCTTTTATTGTTCGGATGACAGTTTCTACAGGGGATGTCAAGAGAGGGGCGACGGGGGCCGGTATTGCAACTTGGGGTGCACCTCCTGGAATCAGCACTGTTGTGGGAGCTGGTTTTATTTGCGGAGGAGGGGGAGGTGGTGGGGGGAAAGGGGGAGGAGGGGGAGGAGGGGATGATGGCATCTCCCCCAATTCTGCTGCAGCAAGCGGCAGTGAAGCTACTGGGGCCGGTGGCAATGCAGAGACTGGGAAAGGTTTCGTGGTAACGTTTAGCAAATGTTTCTTGAAATGAATCTTGCCCAGTTCCGCCTTCGGCTTTGGGGGAGAAAATTCCTCGGGGGTTCCCAAGGGATCGTCGAGTTCTGCTTTCAGCTTAGAAGTGAAGTCACTCGGAAGGGGTGAAAGTGACGTGCCTGGGCTTTCGCTGGACTTCTCGTTCCCCAACGCAGCCAGAAACCGGTTTGGCAACGTCTTCTTGGTAAAGCTGAAGCTGAAGGACACTTTCTGCCTCCCTTGTTCCTCCAGATTCACTTTTGTCCGGGTGCCTTTGGGTAAGAAACGGCTCGATGCCACTCCTTTGAAGACGGGGCCTTTGAGAAAGCCGGGTTTCTGGACATTTTCGCTCTTGCCCTGCAACGCAAAACGGCAGCCAGTTAAGAGCTGTTCGGTTTCCAAAAAAGAGGAATGAATAAAAAGAAAGACTGTGACCCAAAGAAAAGCAAAACCTCCTAGATAGATGGCAGGTCAAGTTGGTTGACTGATAATAGATTTTCATATCTGTGATTTTTCTTTTCAACGCTATATACTATTTTGGCAAACACAGGTAGTCCCCGATGTACAACAGTTCGTTTAGCGATCGTTCAAACTGACAACGGCACCGAGAAGAGTGACATGACTGGTTTTCACACTTACAACTGTTGCAGCATTCCCCGGGGTCATGTGATCAAAATCCAGACACCGACTCGTATTTAATTTAATTTAATTTCCATTTTATATACCGCCCTTCTCCCTGAGGACTCAGGGCGGTGTACAGCCAAGATAAAAACATAGAATACAAATATTAAAATATTTACGACAGTTGCAGTGTCCCATGGTCATGTGATCCTCTTTGGAGACCCTCAGACAAGCAAAGTCAATGGGAAGGCAGATTTAATTAATAACTGTGTTACTGACTTAAGAACTGGAGTGATTCACTTAACAACTGTGGCAAGGAATCTCACAGAATGGCACAAAAACTCACAACTGCCTCTCTTAGGAAAGGCCTCAATTGTGGGCATTATGTCGAGGGCTACTGTATGAAGCATCCTGTTGAGGGACATGGAAGGAGGGATAAAAATCATCTGGGTTTTTTTTTTTTACTCTTCTCATCCTCTATGGCCAATTCCTGGCATACGTCAAATCTTTCTTTCCAGACACCCAAAACAGAACAAAAAAAAAACCTCTCACAAGGTCTTCCTTACATTCCCCTAAAACAGAAGTGGAATAAGATAGTGCTTACCTCATTATCTTCTTCCCTGTTGCGATCCAGATGAAACCATGCAAAGGGGGGGGGGGGGAGGAAAAAAAACAGAGAAAGCATGAAAACTTAAAAAGGGGTGGGGGAAAACCCACTTGCTTTACAGATTTAACGAACAATTTTCACTTGTGCTGAATGCTAATTTGCAGTGAGGACAGGCAGTAACCTGGTTCACTTACAAACGGTCCACATGGGTGGTACAAGCTATTTCTCCAGCCCTGTTATGTGTCACTCAAAAAAAAAAAAAAAAAAAAAAAAAAGTGCTCTAGCATCTCTCTTCAGTAAATCCTTGGTTTTTTCCAGCAAAATTGTCAATTTTCAAGCATGTGTGCGGTCATATTAAGAGTCCAGCAGCGCAGCACCTTTCCTTCCCAAACTATTTATTTATTTATTTATTTAGGGGATTTATATGGCCACCCACTCACTCACAGTGATTCCGGGTAGCTTACAAATAATAAAAACCTAATATAAAAAGAATAAAAACAAAGCACAAAGTATTCTGAGGGCCTTCTACAGTTACAATTCTTCCAATATCAGAAATGTGAGCCACCTCCAAGGAGGAAGAGGGTCTGGAAATGCCATTTTACATGTGTTGATAGGGTAAACCTTGTTACAGCAAATTGCGATGCAAGTTTTGCAAAAAATTTTCTCCCGGTTCCTCATTCCGGAATCCCAATGCAATCCAAAAAAATCAGCTTCTAGTTTTACTAAGAGAAAGCAGTGGAAAAGGAAAATATTTGGGAAAATAAAACAGGAAAAGAATGGTGTGTGTTCTCGTGCAGGCAGTCCTTGATTTACAACCACAACTGGGAACTTCCATCACTAAGCAAGGCAGTTGTATATACAGGTAGTCCTCGACTTACAGCTATTTCTTTAGTGTCCATTCGAAGTTATAATGGACTGAAAGAAGTGACTTATGATAGTTTTTCACACTTACAACCGCTGCAACATCTTCATAGTCACGTGATCAAAATTCAAATGTTTGGCAACTAACTTGTATTTATGGCAGTCGCAGAATCCTGGGCTCACATCATCCTCTTTTGCAACCTTCTGACAAGCAAATGCAATGGGGAAGCCAGATTTGCTTAACAATTGTGTGGCTAACTTAACAACTGAACTAATTCACGTTAACAGCTATGGCAAGAAAGGCCAGAAAATGGGGGGAACTCACTTAGCTGTCTTGCTTAGCAACCTAAATTGTCAGCTCAATTGCAGTCGTAAGTCGAGGAATGTTTGTACAGCAGGAAGGCCACAACAAGCTGACCTCAGCTGAGTTCAGTCATGTTGGGTTTGTGTCACTAGAATTTTGCCCCAAACTGTTCATCCTCAAAATTACCCCAAGTTTCAAAAAATACATTTGTTCAACCATCATTAAATCCAGTTTTTAAACCAGCATTGTCATTACATAGCTGCTGTTGATTGCTGATGGAGTGTTATTTTTTTTAAAGGAAAATGGCTTTTGAATTTTCATCAAGGATAAATGACCTGCTAAGTTAAATGGTATGCTGATTTGTTTCCAATCTTTTTTTTTTTTTTTTGCAGATGGTTACAGACCAAGGAGTTTTTAGTTTGTATGAATTGTTTGCAATTTTAATCTGGTTTTAGGATATTTTACTATTTGCATATTTTATCGTATGGTAAGTAGCTCAGCTCACCTGGCCAGACAAGATCATGAGTGCTAAAAGGGAAAGAAGTTTGATGCAAATGCTCCTTCTAGCACTGATGATGTTCCCTACTGGGGTTGTGAAACATCTGTAAGAAAAACCACCAAGCTCAGAGAGCACCATGAAACCCTCCTCCCCCCTGCAAACCCCACCCCCCTTCCTTCTAGCACTGATGATGTTCCCTAGGTGGGTCATGAAATGTTTGCAAGAAAACCACCAACCTCAGAGAGCACCAATGACCTCACTAGGAGGAGAAAATGAAACTCCAGGTTCTGGAGATATGCCTTAAGACTACACTTTATGCAAGCAACTGAAATAATCTCTCTCTATGCCATAAAAACATGGCGAAAACCAGAAATGTCCTCAGTCCCAAAGTCATTTCCATCAGCTTGAGCCAAAAGCTGAATAAGCAAAAAACTGCTTTGAATTTAAAAGAAACCTCCTTTGAGAAATAAAAAATATTACTGCTACTAAAAACATCAGCTCATATTCTCGTCCTCCTAATTCCTTCTCATTACAAGTCTTCAGGACCATTTTTTTTCTTACTTCTTGGAGGATATCTGCTGACTTGCTAATTTTAATATTCCAAACCATCCTCAAATCAATTTCGTTGGTAAAATTTCTTCCTGACACAAATACAAACTTTTCCAAAACATTTGCTACATGTCTACCTTGTTACAATACTGTCTGAACTTGGCAACTTTAAGAGGGGAGGGCTTCAACTCCCAGAATTACCCAGCTAGCCATGGCTGACCGGGTAATTCTAGGAGTTGAAGTCCGCATATCTTAAAAGTTGCCAAATTTGAGAAACACCGTTTTTAGAGAATTGACAAGTTACACAAATCACACATCGCTCAGCTGATCGTCGGAATTTTTTTTTACATTTTTTTTACTATCTGTTCAGGAAACCAGTAGCATTTTTTACTACCGGTTCAGGAGAACCGGGCCAAACTGGTAGCATTTCACCCCTGCTATGTACTATTGTTAATATAGTTGTCCTTTAAAACACATTCTATTTATTTATATTGCCCAGTTTTAACAGGAAATATGATATCACTGTAAAGTTGCTTATTTTGCATAGAACCAATAATCCAGCATACTAGCCGTTTAACAACTGTCTTGCTCAACAACCGAAATTTTTGGACCAATTGTGGTCATAACTGGAGGACTAAATGTATCTTTAGACTTTTCCTTATGCACCAAGTCAGGGAGTGGGGGATAAATGTTATCCAAAAAAACGGCTGCAAAACACGGAATCGTTCCGATCAGAGAACGGCAGCTAAAATAAAATCGCCCAGACCTGTAGATGATTTATGAAAGGGAGATAGATTCCCTTGATGTGAATAGATCACCCGGGTTAAAAAGAAGCTTCTGAGCCCCACTGGGTGGATGGGTGTGTCAAGGAAGCAGATCTCAAAGGAAGCATAAAAAAGACGGGCAGCTACACCACTGCGGTGCATCCGAGCCGGTTGCTGTGGACACAGCAAACGGCATTATTTGCTTGAGAAAATCCACAGTGTAACCAGGAGAGGCTGAACGGTTTGCCAGCAGATCAGAACTGCCACTAAACCTGGAATTGGAATTGGGACACAAGCGAACGTGGAGGAAAATACAGACTTCTGAGGCTCAATAAATTCTGATTAGCAGGCTGTATGAAAAGTTCCGATTTTCTAGAATCAAAAATAAAAACCAGGATATCCAAGCAGTCCTCGATTTACAACAGTTCACTCAGTGACAGTCTGAAGTTACAACGGCACTGGAGAGAAGGGACTTATGATGTATTTTTTTCCACACTTATGACTGCAGCATCCATCCCCATGGCCACCTGTTCAAAATTCACACGTGTGACACCTATTTATGACGGTTGGGGACGTCCCGGCGTCGCGTGATCCCCTTTAACGACCTTCTGCCAAGCAAAGTTGATGGGGAAGCCAGATTCGCTTAACAACCGTGTTCCTAGCTTAACAATGGCAGGGATTCACTTAACAACCGTGGCAGCAAAGTTCGTAAAATGGGGCACAGCTCACTTAACAAATGTCTTGCTTAGAAACAGAAATTGTGGCCTCAGTTGTGATCCTAAATCAAGGACTACCTGTACCTCCAAGTCCCTGTGTAGACAATCAAGGGGTTGAGATGATGCTCATCTTCTCCATTGCTTGGGCCAAATTCCATGTTGCATTTCACCCATAAAAGCCAGAGCCATCATGTAAAATAAGGCTGATCAAACTTTCTCCTCTAAGGGTATTTTACTACTACCCCTTTGTTCCAAAAACATCTTCCAAAATCTTTGCTCAAGCCAGAGAGTGCGATGCAAGGCAGATTACAGGGAATCCTCGACTTACGACTGCAATGGAGCTCAGAATTTCTGCTTCAAAGCAAGGCAGGGGGCTCAGTGAATTGCACCTCGTGTTATGACATTTTGGCCACATTTCTTCCGTGAATTGTGCAGTCGCTAAGCGAATCTAGCTTCCCTGTTGGCTTCTCAGAAGGGGATCACCTGACCTTGGCACACTGAAACCGTCACAAAGGCGGATCAGCTGCCAAGCGGCCGAATCCTTGATCACGTGACCACAGGGAATGCTGCAGCAACTGTAAGTGTGAAAAACGGTCCTCTCTACTTTTTTCAGTGATGTTGTAACTTCAAATGGCCACTAAATAAATGGTTGTAAGTCGAGGAGTACCTACAGTGTCATTAAGAAGGGGGGAAAAAAATGAAAAAGTGCAGATGTCAATCAACTATTTCCTAGGGCCGCAACAGTCTCCCCGATGCACTATAATCACCACCACATAATTGCAGCAAAGGCTCGGCTCTGTTTAGCTCACTTTGCCAACTGTGTTTCGCAACCAGCAAACGGTTGGGCTGAAAGCTGAAATTACCAATTAATACTCCCTCCAGGGGGGGAAAAGGAAGCAAAAGATAAGAAGAGCCAAGGGAGGACTGGAAAAAGAAACAACACAAAATTTTGTCCACCGGCTCACACGCCCAAGGCTGAAGGCACAAGAAAATGCTGCAAAGATGGAGCTAACCAGGGAAATTAAAATTTAAATCGCATTTCTGATTCTTCCAGCATTCGATTCCGCTGCCCTCTCAATGTTACCCAGTCTATGAAAAAACCTCTTGCCCATTATGACTCACAATAGTTCATTTAGTGACCGAAGTTACATTGACACAGAAAAAAAGGGACTGTTATGAGTTTCCCACACTTATGACCGTTGCAGCATCTCCGTAGTCATGTGATCCAAAATTTGGACGCCTGGCAACTGACTCCTATTTATGACGGCCAGTGTCCCGGAGGGGGCCACGCGATTCTCTTTTGCAATGTTCTGACAAGCAAAGTCAACGGGGAAGTTGGATTCACTAACAACCATTTGACTATCTTAACAACTGCAGGGATTCCCATAACAACTGTGTCAAGAAGGATTGTAAAATGGGGTGAAAGTCAATCAACGACTGTCTTACTTAGCAACAGAAATGTCTAGCTCATTTGTAGTTGTAAGTCAAGGAGTGCCTGTAATCACCACCATGAAACTCTGGCAACCCAGCAAGCATCGTGATGCGTGTCTGAACCGTGAAATACAGGTAGTCCTTGATTTATGACAACAGCATCCAAAATGTCGGTCGCTAAGCAAGGCCGTTGTTAAATGAGATGTGTGTCACTGTATGACTTTTTTTGTCATGGTTGTTAAACAAATCACTGAAGTTGTTAAGTGAACCATGTGGCTTGTTTAAAGTGAATCTGCTGGGCAGAAGCTTGCAAATGGTGATCACGTGACCGGGGGTGGGGGTGGGGGAAACGACACAGCAACCGTCATGAATACATGCCAGTGGCCAAGCACCCAAAGTTTGACCCCGTGACTGTGGGCATGCAGCGATGGTCGTAAAGGTGAAAAACTGTTGTATGTCAACTTTTTTCAGTGCCGTTGTAACTTTGAATGGTCCTTAAATAAATGGTTGTAAGTCGAGGACTACCTATATGTCTTCAAGCAACACCATAGCCTCCTGCATCCCTGGCTGGGAGGGGACAATACACAAAAGACCACCATGTTACACGCACAACCCGTTTCTGTTTAGGCCACAGCCAGAAAAAATGAAAACTGCTTGAGAGAAATCTGAACTGTGTTGTCTTTGACCCACAATAGCCTATGCGAGAAAGCCATCTCACAACATGGGGGTTGCCAGGCTACAAATCGGAAAGTTCCTATTTATCAAAAGGCAAAATGGTAGTTGGCACCTATAAATTCCAGAAATAGAATGTAGCAGGGGTGGGCAACTGCGCCCCTTTTACAACCTGCGGACTTCAACTCCCAGAATTCCTGAGACAGCCAAGCTGGCCCAGGAATTCTGGGAGTTGAAGTCCACAGGTTGTAAAAGGGCCACAGTTGCCCAGCCCTGGAATATAGAATAACAGGGTTGGAAGGGACCTGGGAGGTCTTCTAGTCCAACCTCTGCTCAAGCAGGAGACCCCGCCTTCATTTATTCCAGATTAAGACAAGCCTGGGTTTGCACAAGGCGTTAAACTGGCTGAAGTGAACCATGATTTATTGCTTAAGGAGTAAAATATTAACCAAGGACATTTCTGATCTGAGGGCTTGGTGAACCTGACGTGGAAATAAAAACTAACAATTCTAAAGAGAAAGCAGGACAAAATGAAATGCTTTTCAGTGCTAAAAATGGATTTATTTTTTATAGAGTAATTTATAAATATTATTTAACAGGTGGGATGCTAATAAATGAAACAAAAATAAATTTATTTTGATTTATTTGTATCCCATGGCAGCAAACATATCCAATTTATTTTCTTCCAATTTTCTCCACCACAACAACAACCATGTGAGGTGGGCTGGGTTGAGAGGGAGGGAGGGACTGGCCCAAAGTCACCAAATCGGCTTTCATACCTAGTGGGACTAGAACTCACCATGTCCAGATGATTGGCCCAAAGTCACCTAGCTGGCTTTCACGCCTAAGACAGAGTAGAACTCACTGTCACCTGGGGACTGACCCCAAGTCACCCAGTTGCTTTTCATGCCTAAAGTGGGACTAGAACTCATCATCTCCTGGTGATTGGCCAAGAGTCCCCCATCCAGCTTTCATACTTAAGGTGGGACTAGAACTCATCTCAAATTGGGATGTATGGTGTGTGTCTGTGTGCATATTACGCATGAGACACAGTGTCAGGCCTGCCATCTCCAGCTTCACACCATGAATTGGGAGGGAGGGAAGGAGGGGGAGAAGGAATTTGGGGCAGTACATCCTGTGGGCCTGGGAATGAGGAGGCGAAGCGCGCAGAGGGGAGCATGTTGACAAAACAAGCCAGCCACCAAGGACACCTGGCTTGGGAACTGAAGGGGAGAGTGCCGTCAGAAGCGCCAAAGAACCCAGACGTTCCCACGGAGAGGGCGGGGAGGGGGCGGGGGGGGGGGGGGGGGGGGGGGGGCAGGAAAGGTGGGGGGAGATACTCACATCTAGCTGCAAGCACTTAACTTGAGTAAAAGAAGTAAAAATTTGAGGGTCTTTCTTTCCTACATGTCTAAATTGGGGCAGGTCTGACACACATACACATACATACACACCATATATATTGCTTCTTCGCTTACAGTGTTATTCACAACCAAAACCAAATGAAATAAGCTCGTTTCCATTTGAAAACGGAGCACGTGTCGCAGCAGCCATCCAATAATACCTGAACTGTTTCACCTGTTTCCCACCTGCCTTTAAAAATGAACCCCTTAAATGCAGTTGACCTTGTCTACTTATAAAATACCGGAGCTGATCTCAGAACACTTTAGTTCCTCTGCCAGCCACCATTCAAAACTGCTTTTCTCAGCAATTATCCCAGAGAAGGGGGAAGTGTGTGTATATATATATATATTTATTTGTACTGCAGGCATGGCAGATTTGTCAGGTTTCAGCTAAAAAAGATTAAGACAAATAGCCATTTCTGAATTTGCAAGAGAGCACTTCACGCTTTTGGGGTTTTATCTATCCACGTTCAGCAAAAGGAGAAAATAAGCACTGAATCTCTTTCTCCCTGCCAAGAAAATCTAAAGTCAATCTGTAACTGCAGGGATTCCTCAATTTATGACCATAATTTAGACCAGGATTTCTGTTGCTAAGCTAAGTGGCTGTTGAGTTGAATTGCATCTGATTTTCTCACCGGGGTTAAGCAAATTGTGCAGCCATTAAACAAATCCGGGTTTTTCTCCCCGTTGACTTTTGCTTGATGGAAGTCAGATGGGAGATCGCGAATGAGGATCACATGACCCCAGGACACTGCAACCGTCGTTAAGTATGAGTCAGAAGCCAAATGCCCAAATTCTGATCACGTGACACTGCAAGGGTTGTTAAAGTGACGCTGTAACTTCAGTCACTGAAGGAATGGTTTTAACTTGAGGACTAACTGTCGTATCATTCATTTAATGACCATTAGGCATTATAACGGCATTGAAAAATGTGACTTATGACCGTTTTTCATACTTACACATATGGTTGTGTTGCAGCATCCCCATGATTGAAATTCGGATACTTGGCAACTGGCTCATATTTATGACAGTTCCAGCATCCTGGGGTCACGTGATCCCCTTTTGAGACCGTCTTCTGCCACCAATAGCCTCCCACCGACCAGTCCGCTCCCACAGAGAGGGTCTCCTCAGGGTGCCATCAGCCAAGTTATGTCGGCTGGCGACACCCAGGGGGAGGGCCTTCTCTGTGGGAGCCCCAGCCCTGTGGGAGCCCCAGCCCTGTGGAATGAACTGCCCCCGGAAATACGTAAGATTCCCGACCTCTGGGTATTTCGCTGTGCACTGAAGACCCTGTTGTTCCGCCAGGCCGGGCTATCGACATAATAATTTTAAATTGGGGTATTTTAAATTTTTGGGGTTTTAAATCGGCCAAATCTATTTAATTATTTTAATTTTTAATTATTGTTGTGTCCTGTGTTTTTAAATTGACTGTACACCGCCCTGAGTCCTTCGGGAGAAGGGCGGTATAGAAATAAAATTATTATTTATTATTATTATTTTGCAACCTTCTGACATGTAAAGTCAATGGGGAAGCCGGATTCACTTTACAACCAGGTTGCTAACTTTTAACAACTGAAGCGATTCGCTTAACAACGGTGGCAAGAAAGGTCGTAAAATGGGGCAAAAGTCACTTAACAACTGTCTTGTTTAGAAAGGGAAAATTTGTGCTCAACTGTGGTCGTAAGTCGAAGACTACCTGAAATTTTCCCGTTAACTGTAACTTCCTGTAACGATCAACCATACGCTAACAATTTCCCCTATTTAAGTTCCTTCTGTGCTGGAAGCCATCTTCCCCAGCAAGCAAACAGCATCTCCGAGACATAATAGGTTTTACTTCCAAATTGTTCTCTGTCCTTTTCCTGTCTTAAGTTTGACACTCAGCTCTTGGAGGCACGCACCTCTTAAAAAATTTATGGCACTTGGAGAGCGAGGCCAGGAGGGAACAAATATTGCTCAATATAAGGACACCTTATAGCCCATGAAAGGGGTGATCCCTGAAAACATGGGGCAGAAATCCCCCTCCCCCGAATGTAACACATTTTAGAGGCCCTATCTTTGCAAGTCACTACTGGCAATTTTGGAATTTATTTTAAGCGCCCACCACCCCACCCTGACTGAAGATAAGGAGGAATATGTTAAAAGGCAAAATTTGTTTCCTGCCAATCTAGTCAAAAGACTTAACGTTTTAAAGTACAGGAAGGAGGAAAGAAGAGGAGAAGATAAGAGAAGGAAGGAAGGGAAGAAGGAAGGAAGGAGGAAAAGAAAGGAAAAAAGGGAAGGGAGAGGAGAAGAAGAGAAGGAAGAAAGGAAGGGAAGGAAGGACTAGAGAAGAGAAGAAAATAAGACAAGAGAAGAAGGAAGAAGGGAAGGAAGGGGGGGACTGCCTGCCAGTAATTCTATCCCAAAGAATTGTTGAATGTTCCGTTTCGACACCTGCTAAGCAAAGACATCCATAGAGAAGGGAGGGGGGAATGCTGAATTTACGTTAGCAAAACAGAAGCTGAATTTCACTTTTTTTTTTTGTACAATTAATTTCTGGAATTGCATGATGTTGCTCAGGCATCCATAAAAACAAGGAGAGTAATTTGCAAAAACAGAGGTTTGCCCTATTGCCTTGGTCCAAGCTTTTACCTTTCTACCTCTTCAGACCCATCCATATTCTTTGCAAAGATGCACCTGTGGTCCCTTTCCACCTCAGAGGTGACTGCAATTTCAGCGCTGCTGGACGCATTAGCCATTTGATGTCCACTGGGATCCTTCTGTGTGAAAGCCGTGCTATAAAAACAAAACAGGGTTCAAGAGAGACAGTTGAGGGTTACATGCGCAGGTGAGCCAGGGGAGAAAGGAAGGGCTGAGCTGCTGAAACCCATTTTTGCCAGAAAACAGAAACGGCAGCCCAGTTCTCCTCAGGGCAGGGATTAACAGCATAGCAAGAGTTGGAAGGGACTTTGGAGGTCCTCTAGTCCAACCTCCTGCACAAGCAGGAGACTCTATACCATTTCAGACAAGTGGCTGTCCAATCTCTTCTTGAAAACCTGCAATTTCTGGAAGCAAACTGATTCATTGTTCTCACTGCTGGGAAATTTCTCTTTTATTTCTAGGTTGGTTCCCTCCTTGATTAGAATTAATGCACTGGGCCCAAAGGACTAGCAATAATGCATTTTTTAAGTATCACAAAAATGTGGGTGCTTCTGTCCTCTACCGGATATTTATCTTTTTAAATTGTCTGTAAGCCACCCAGAATTGCCATTATCGGTGAGGGGTGGCATATAAATTGAATAAATAATACTGATGAAGCTCCCCCAATTCACAACTATCTCTCCCTTATACAGGCATGCATAAAAGTCTGATTTCTGAATGCCATTAGTTCAACCATGCCTTCAGACAATATAAAGTATCCCTTTGTGTAATAAAAATGAAAGAATGTGGGTACAAGTTACCAAGAATACAGGTAGTCCTCAACTTACAGCAAGCAGTTCATTTAGTGAACGTTCAAACGTATGGCAATGAAAAAGCGACATGACCATTTTTCACACTTACAACCGTTGCAACCATTCCCATGGCCACGTGATCAAAATTCAGATGTTTGGCAACTGACTCATACTTATGGCGGTTGTAGTGCCCTGGGTCAGGGCAACCCTGGGTACCTTTTGCAACCTTCTGACAAGCAAAGTCAAAAGGGAAGCCATGTTATTTACAATTTACAACAATTTACAAAGTTACTAATTTAACAACTGCAGTGATTCACATCGCAAAATGGGACAAAATTCACTTAACAAATGTTTCACTTAGCAACAGAAATTTTGAGCTCAATTGTGGTTGTAAGTCAAAGACTACCTGTATTTTCCTTTCTTATTTGCTTGTTCTCTGGGACTAAAGACCTATGGATGTTATTTCTTTTTAATTTGGGGGGGAAAGTAGGGGAGACCCTACATATATAAAAGGAGGAGGTTTTAGAGAAAAATTCCTAATAAGCTTATAGAAAAAAAGTGCTTCCAAGCAGGTGCTCTCCGCTAGAGCTGGATTCAAATTCTTATCAAACAATAGCAACCCTTTGTTCTTTTCAAGTTTGTTTCTGAAGATTTTTTTAAAAAAAATAGCTGCAGAGCCTGTTGCTACAGACAGTTCCCCAATTCCCCATCTTCCATGTTTGGGGCTTGCTGCTTCAAACTTACCCCCCCCACACACACACCTGGATTTAAAGAGAAAATGTGAATTACAGCTTGCACAGATACACCTGTGGGGGACATTTTCAACCAAATCTCTCTCTCTCTCTCTGCCACAATCATGGCTTGCTTAGAGCCCAGGAAAGGAGACAGGTGCTCTAAAAGATTCCCCCACATGTGCTAGCCATGCTCTGACTCACATGGTGACCTTTGGATCCAGGTCAAGGCTCAACCTATTATGTTGGGTACTTGCAGCCATCATGCAGCAACTTCAGTTTAATGGGTTATTTGCCCAGGGGGGCTACATGAGAAACTGGGGCTGTTGTGAAGGGCCAAACCAATGGGGTTGTGAAGTTGTACAGGCACCACATGTAAACTGTGGGGGAAAAAATAGCCGTTACCTAGAAAATAAATGCAATCCACATGGACCAGACAGGGAGTCAAGGGGCCAATATAATGACTAGGTCTGACCTAGAATCACAGAGATGGAAGGGACCTTGGAGGTCTTCTAATCCAACCTCGTGCCTAAGCAGGAGAATATAATCTTTCCTTCCCCAGCTAAGAGACCTTGGTGGTTTTCTACTCCCACCCTCCCCAAGGCAGGAAATCTTATCTTGCCTCCTTCAACTAAGGGACGTTGGCGGTCTTTTCCAGCTGGAGACCTTGGTTTTGCCTAAGAGACGTTGGAGGTCTTTCTAGTGCAACAACCCCCCCAACCTCCCCCCTTCATGGCAGGAGACATCAGCCTTTTCTTCTCCATCTAAGGGACCTTGGAGGCCTTCTAGTCTGACCTCCTGCCCAGAGCAGGAGACCTTAGTCTTTCCTAAGGGCAACTCTAAAAAGGTAACTGACCGAACAGTATTATAATCTTCTGAGCACGAAAGCCAACCCAAATACGGCTCAAAATACAGAATTTATCAAAATACAGAATTGAGGGGAGGATGTTATTCTGGAAGACAGGTTCACAAATCAGCAACCGCTCTCTTAAGGAAAGAGACCCCCCCTCCCACATTCCTCCCCCAAAACCAGCCCCAAAAGGCCCAAAATCCAAGGATTTATTCCGGGGAGGGGGGGAGGGGTCTCGTCCACACTGGGTTCCCCCTCCCAAAAAAGCCACTCAAAAAGCTGCTTCAGAGGAGTTTAAAAAAAAGCCTAAGGGGGGGGAGAAAAGTTGGGGGGAGGAAGGAAAGCAGACAAATAAAAGCTCTTCGAGAAAAGCCTCCCCCTCCCACACTATATTTCACCCCCCCCCCCCGCGCACACCCCAAAAGGGGAGCTTGGAGGGGCTCGTCCACATGGCAGAAGGGGAACTGGGGTTTGGGGGGGGGCGTGTGTCAAAAGCCCTCCAGCCCCTCCAGCAAAAGACCCCCCCCATCCCAAGAGCTTTCTCTGAAGAAACTGCTGCCCTCCCCTCCCCCAATGGTTTCCAGGGTGTGGGGGGGAGGAAGGGGGGCTGGGGGTGGGTTGAGGGGCGCCCTCCTCAATGGGAGGGGAGTGAGGGAGAAAAAAAAAGCAAACCTCGCTTTCCTAGACGAGGCGGACCAAAAAAAGGCGAAATCCCGCCCGCTTTGTTCGCCCCCGGATTAGGGTGTCCGGGGCCGGCCGCGGCTCTCACGCGAGGCCGGGGATGCGCGGCCTAGTCAGGCCCGGCTTCTGCTTCTCCTTCGGCCGCCTCAGAGAGGCCTGTCCGGGGGGGGGGCGTCGTGAGGGGGGGAGGGGGCTCTGAGGGGCGGGGGCGACCGTTGCTGCCGTCTTAGCGGGGGGGGGGGAAGCGGCGCGCGAGGTCTGAGGAGACTTTTTTTTCCCCCCCTCAGGATTTCCCCCTCCCCCCCCTCTTCCCCCTCCCCTCCCCCCACAGCCCCACTTACTCAGGGGTCGGGTGCTCCGGATCGTAGAAGTCCTCCATGTCGGCGGCTCCTGCCCCGCAACGAAGCCCCGATCCGTCCGCCGCCGGGCGCACGGACGGGATGCTCCGCGCCCTCTGCGCCGCCGCCTCCCGCTCACATCCTTTTCTAACTCCACCGACCGCCCGAGTCCACCCGAGCGCCGAGCTACCCCCCCCCGCCCGAGTCCACCCGAACGTCGAGCTAACCCCGCCCGAACCCCGCCCGACCTCAGCCGAGTGTCGAGCTAACCCGGCCGAGCCGACTCGAACTCAGCCGAGCTCCCGGCGAGCAGAGGCCAAGAGGCGTTTCTTCCCCCGTCCCTAGCCACGCCTCCTCACCTTTCCAGGCCACGCCTACCACCCTTCTCGGCCACGCCCCCTGCCTCCCCAAGCGATCGCTCTGGATCTTCCCCCCTTTTTCACGTGCGTGGGAAGTGTTCCTCCTCCCATCGTCCATAGCCGCCGCGCCTCATAGGACTTGGAGTCCCCGAGCGAGCGATCGCTCCAGCCGGCCGCGGCTTTTCCTCCCCCCCACATTCCACGTGCGTGGGAAGTGTTCCTCCTCCCATCGTCCACAGCCGCTGCGCCTCATAGGAGTTGGAGTCCCTGAGCGAGCAAGCGAGAGAGAGAGATAAAGAGATTTTTCCCTGTCCGACCTGGGGGATCATTATGGGTGTGGATGTGGGTGTGGGGGGCTGGTGTGGCTCCGGGGCTGAGCCCATGGTTCCCCAGCGGACGTGCCCCATGGGACTTGGAGTCCTCGACTATGTTAGTTACTCCCCGCCCCATCGTGGAGGGCGGTTTGCAAAACGTGCCCATGAAAGGCTTGGCTGGCCACGGGGTGCTTGCAACGCCTTGCTAGCCCAGGGTCCCCGGCCGGCCGCGCCCCATGGGAGTTGGAGTCCCCGACTTAAATTGAGTTTCTCGCCGCCGGACCGGGGATGGTGGATTGCAGCTCGCCGTGGGGCTCTGCATCCTTAAGGTCATCGTTCCCACCCACCCCCATGAGAGTTGGAGTCCCTGATCGACAGATTCTCCTCGCTTGCACCCCATCGTCCCCAGCCGGCGCGCCCCATGGGAATTAGAGTCCCCGACTGAGAGTTTCGCCCATTCCGACCGGGGTCATAGATTGCACCGTGCCTTAAGAGCTCCTTTGACCGCGGGGGTTGCACTGTTCAGCCCGTGGTCCCCAGCCCACGCGCCCCATGGGAGTTGGAGTCCCCGCCCTAGCTGGGATCCTTGGCTGCACTGCGCCGTGGGAGCTCCTGAAACGGCCCCGAAGGGACCCCTGGTTGAATCCCAGTTTAACAAAACTGGTTTCCAACAGTTTTGGAAGCCTGGGTAGGTGGGATTCAATATCTTCTTTTGTCCTCCCCACTCCCACAGCCTTGACCTTCTGTGCGACCCCACTCCCGAAAAGCAATTTTACAGATGGGAAATTGAGGCTGACCTCGTGACTTTCCAACTGCCTACCCAGCTACAGTATCAGCCCCTATGGCGTCATGGGCAGTGACATCACTCCCCCCCCCCAGATTGGAATCGGGGTCTTCTCCCTGTTTTTACCAGTTGGAGGAACAAGAAAGGTAAATTTTATTTACCTGGCCTTCTGGGCACCTGCGGTATAAAAATAATCACATTAATCTGTGTTTTAATTCTGTTTGATACAGTTATGGAGATCATCGGTGTCAACTTTCTCTGGCTCATTTCATAGTTCTAGTAATACGATTTCTTTGCTTTTTGCACAGTGATTAACAACCCCAGAAATAAATTTATATAAATTTATAATCACAAATACTGAATCTCAGCTTGACCTACCTTACAGAGTCGTTGTTGGGTGAAAAAATAGGGGATCGGGTACGATTGCTGCCCTGAAGTTGGTTTATCAAGGGCGGTATAGAAATCTAATAAATAAATAAATAAATAAATATTGGCCTCCCATCTTACCACAGGGTAACCCTGTAAATCACTGAATTATTTATGAAATAAAGGGATACAAATAAAGAAATAAACACTGGGCCCTATCTAACAAAATGGAATTCAGTGTAGAGAAAAGTAAATTCTTACGCTTATGTAAGAAAAACCAAAAGCACACATATAAACTGGGGGAAACCAGGCTTAATATCAGTAACTGTGAGAGGGATCTTGGAATCTTAGTGCACAAACCAGCTAAATAGGAGCCAGCTGTGTGCAGCGGTAGCTAAAAAAGCCAATGCAATCCTAAATTGCATTAACAGAGGGATACAATCAAGATCAAGGGAGGTACTAATATCACTCTATAAAGCCCTAGTAAGGCCACACTTAAGAGTACTGCATCCAGTTTTGGTCACCAAACTATAAAAAAGATGTTGAGACTCTAGAAAAAGTGCAGAGAAGAGCAACCAGGATGATGAGGGGACTGGGGGATAAAACATATGATGAACGGTTGCAGGAACTGGGCATGGCTGGTCTAGGGAAGAGAAGGACCAGGGGAGACAGGAGAGCATCTTCCAGTATTTGAGGGGCTGCCCCAGAGAGGAGGAAGGGGGTCAAGCTATTTCCCAAAGCACCTGAAGGCAGGACAAGGAATAATGGATGGAAACTGACTGGAAAGCAATATAAGGAGTGAAATATAGAAACACATAAACACAAGACTAAAACGAAACAACAAACACGACTAACCGAGAGTTAAGCTCACTCTCCAATTAATATTAACTAATATCATCCTAGCCAAACATTTCAATGCAATCAAGTTCTTTTAACTATCTACAAAACAATTGGCCTGTTTTTATCAAAATTATAAAGAATTATATAGCCTAGTAAATATCTAGTTAATCTAGTTAGATTAGTCTTGTGTTTATGTGTTTCTATATTTCACTCCTTATATTGCTTTCCAATCATTACTGTGTGTTAATTTTACTGAAACTGACTATTGGGGGCGAGTCGTTGGTCCCCACGGAGAGGGCTCGCAACTTGGGCGTCCTCCTGGATTCACGGCTGTCTTTAGAAGAGCATTTTGACGGCCGTGACCGGGAGGATTTTTCATCAGGTTCGCCTGATACGTCCCTTTCTGGATCGGGACTCCTTACGCACGGTCACTCATGCCCTCGTCACTTCCTGTCTGGACTACTGTAATGCTCTCTACATGGGGCTCCCCTTGAGGTGCACCCAGAGGCTCCAACTGGCGCAGAGTGCGGCCGCGCGGGTAATTATGGGGGCGACGAGGCATTCCCATGTGACACCTCCTGCGCGAGCTGCACTGGCTCCCTGTGGTCTTCCGGGTGCGCTTCAAGGTTTTGGTTACCACCTTTAGAGCGCTCCATGGCTTAGGACCGGGGTACCTACGAGACCGCCTTCTGCCACCAATAGCCTCCCACCGGCCAGTACGCTCCCATAGAGAGGGGCTCCTCCGGGTGCCATCGGTCAAACAGTGTCGACTGGCGGCCCCAGGGGGAGAGCCTTCTCTGTGGGGGCACCCGCCATCTGGAATGAGCTCCCCCCAGAGATACGGAGGATCCCGGATCTACGTACCTTCCGCCCTGCCCTCAAGACCTATTTATTCCAACAGGCTGGCCGGGCCTAACTTCCCTTTTAATTGTAACTTTTAAAATTGGTTTTAAAACCTTAGGGGTGTTTTAAATTGTTTTGGGCCAAATTGTTTAATGGGTTTTTATATTGTTTTTTAAAATTTTGTAGTTTTGTGTGTTTTATCTTTCTGGCTGTTCACCGCCCTGAATCCTTCGGGAGTAGGGCGGTATATAAATCTAATAAAATGAAGAAAAAAAATGAAAATGATCAAGGAGAGATTCAACCTGGAAATAAGGAGGAATTTTCTGACAGTGAGAACAATCAACCCATGGAACGGAAGTTGCCTTCAGAAGTTGTGGGAGCTTCATCACTGGAGGCTTTCAAGGGGAGACTGGAATGCCCTCTGTCAAAAATGGTGTAGGTTGGGGGCAGCAGTGAGATTCAAATAATTTAACAACCGGTTCTCTGCCCTAATGATTTCTTCCAACAACCAGTTCACCAAACTGCTCAGAAAGTTAACAACCGGTTCTCCCGAAGTGATGCAAACTGGCTGAATCCCACCACTGGTTGGGGGGTTGGACTAGATGACCTACAAGGTCCCTTCCAACTCTGTTATTTTGTTAAATGTGCAAGGCCTCTGGTCCTGATCATTCTTTAAAATTCAAGCTTTCACATTTTTTTTTTTAATTTGATTTATATGCCGCCCTTCTCCAGAGACTCAGGGCGGCTTACAATGCGTTAAGCAATAGCCTTCATCCTTTTGTATATTTATACAAAGTCAGCTTATTGCCTCCACAAACTGGGTCCTCATTTCACCTACCTTAGAAAGGATGGAAGGCTGAGTCAACCTTGAGCCTTGGCGAGATTCGAACTTACAGTAATTGCAGGCAGCTGGTGTTAAATTACAGTGCTTCTGTCTGTTGAGATATCCAGGCTCATTTAATCTAAACTCTCAGGGGACACTATTTGGAGTTTATGAAAACAGGTAACCAAGCCTTGTAGGATGAATTCCAGTGGTCGGTTGCTACCAGTTCGCCCCAGATCAGGCAAACCGGTAGCGGGGGCAGGAGGCTTTGCCCACCTGCCCAGACAAGCGTGAGTGCACCCATGAGCAAACCGGTAGCGATGGGATTTGAAACCCACTCCCGATGAGCTCCCATAAATAATATAAGGATGGAGAGATAAAAGGGAGGGAGAGATAGATGGATAAGGAAGAAGGATGGATGGATGGATAATGTCCGGCTGGTTCCAGCTCAGATGTTTAGGAAAGAAAGATCTCGACTCCATTTGTTTGAACTGAAAGGTTATTTCACTGAAGTCATGCGGTTACAGCGAAAGTAAAACTAGATATCAGTATCTCCCGCTGGCCCTCCCCACAACTTGGCCGGTCCATCAGGATGGCTTTGGGATGTTTTGGGAACGTCTGGGTTCTTTGGCGCTTCTGACGGCACTCTCCCCTTCGGTTCCCAAGCCAGGTGTCCTTGGTGGCTGGCTTGTTTTGTCAACATGCCTCCCCTCTGGGCGCTTCGTCTTCTCATTCCCAGGCCCACAGGATGTACTGCCCCAAATTCCTTCTCCCCCTCCCTCCCTCCCTCCCTCCCAATTCATGGCGGGAGGCTAGCGAAGCCGAGAAGATGGA